TAATAAAACCTTAGTCATTAAAATTTAAAAACTGCTTGACTAGGATAAAATGCAGAATAGGCAAAAGTGAAGGGAAAACAGGTGATGTGGAAGATGAATCTGAAGCAATTGCCCTGAAAGAATAAAACTGGTAAAAGACTCTGCTAAAATACTCAAATTCAAGAAGCATAATGTTGTCCTAAAAGAAAAACATTACTAAACATACACTTTAACACATAGTAGACACTTGAGAACATCAGTACATAACAGAATATCTTGAGAATCATCAGAGAGGAAGGAAACACCTACAAAACCATGATAGACTGACACCAGAGTTTTAAAAAAAAAGAAATAAAAATCCATTAAAGGATGAGAGCAATGTAAAGATATTATTAGACAAAAACTAAGAGTACATATGGAAAGGATTATGAAATAAAAGTATTGTACAGTTATCTAGGAGTCAGGTACAAATAGTTACTAACTTTAGATATTTAGACAGACACTTACGTTAAAATGCTAAGAAAGTACTGTGATAAACTTTTATATCAATAAATTTGAAAACTTAGGTCAAAAGACAAATTTTCTAGAGAGATTTGTGAAACTGACTCAAGAAGAAAGAAACTTCCATAGATGTAACATTAAAGAAAATAATTTAAAACATCTTCGCCAAAACTCACCATTCCTAGGCAGTGCTACAGATGAGTTCTACCAAATATTTGAGGAGAAGTAAGCCCAGCCTTATACATAAATATTTAACTTATATAATGTCTTACAATAACCTCAGTGCAATCATGTAATTCCCAGTAGTAGGAAGGAAAATCGTAGACTGATCTTGCATAAATATGCACATAAAATCCTAAGTAAAATCTTGACCTGATCTTGGATATTCTGTAATTTTCCATTGATTTGAAGTGCCACATTTATTATAACATGAATTCTAATATAAATGTAGGTCCCCCCCCTTTTTTTTTTGGAGGGGAGGATATATTTGTGTGCCTCATCTATTATCTTGAACTGAAAATCTTACTGTTGAACCTACATTCAGGATATTTGCATTGGCATTTTAATATGCTTTACATAAATGTCTTTCTATTGCATAGTTTTGCAAGTCATTTGAAAGGGATGTCAGGGTGAGAACTCAATATAGTATATACCTCATTTGAGACATTTCATTCTAAAAAATATTCCATAGTTCAAACAAATGTTAAAAAATAGGAAATAAATATATTGTCTAGATATTTCCCACCAAAAAATATTTTCCTCTGATTCCTTCACATTTACATTTATTAATATATATTAATTGACTGCGCCTTGCCTCCTTCCCAAAGTATTTGAGATGGTTTTAAAAAGGAACAGAGAAATAAGTATTACCAGACATTTGGGATGGATTAATTATTGTGTTTGAACACTAATCTCGATTCTTTGTTTTCTGGAAAAGAGCAAAAAAGGGACACGTTATGCTGTCTATTTAAGGGCCCATTTTGAGAGACACGCTTTTTCCCTTTTTATAAATGGGACATTGGATAGATGATAGTTACTTTCAACTTTAATTTGCAGAAGTTAGAGGATGTTCTTGAGATACATCGACCAACTGAAAAACTAAGATTTTAACATCTTAGTCTTAACTTAGGGAATCTTAGCTTCTGTGGTGAGTTTTCAGATATGTAGTTTACTTTTAGTTTCAGAAAAATGCCATGGATTGATTGGTAAATGTGAACGAGTTGCAGAGTTTGAAGATCATCATTTTGCAACCATCAGAATGAAGATTGGATCAGATTAGAATCATTAATGGGTATAAAATCTAGGGGGACATTTTGATGAGGAGCAGGATATTTGCATGCATTCGAACTGTTACCCCACAAACTGCTTATTAGTTGCAAGCGAGAAAATACACAATTACTATATAGTAGAAAAATTAGACAAAACCTTGACCAGGTGGTCAAAGTTAAGATCACCATTGGAGGACAGATAGAAATCATGTGCATGCCTCCAGATGTGATGTCCTGAGGACACATGACTGACCATCTGTGTACTATTTGGTTGATAATATATAACCTCGGTCTAATCATTAGGAAATGTCATACAAGTCTTAAGTGAGGGATGTTCAATTAAAAAAGTGGGGGAGGGTAGCTAGTCTTCTAAAATGTCAGTGTCATAAAAGACGTGAAAGGCTGCAGAAATTTTCTAGAATGTAGGAGGCCAAAGAGACATGATAACTAAATGTATTACTTGATTCTAAACTGGATCCAGTCTTGGAGAAGAAAATACGCTATAAAGGACATTGCTGGGTTAACTGACAAAATTGGAATACACATGTTAGATTTAATAAAAGTATTAATGTTAAATTTGCTGACATTGATAGCTGTTGTAATAATGTAAGACAGTGGTCCCCAACCTTTTTGGCAGCAGATACTGGTACTCCTATGAGAATCTAGTGCCTGATGATCTGAGGTCGAGCTGAGGCGATGATGCTAGCGCTGAGGAGCGGCTGCAGATACAGATGAAGCTTCACTTGCTCGCCCTCTGGCCTGCCACTCACCTCCTGCTATGTGGCCCATTTCCTAACAAGCCATGGACCAATATGGTCCACAGGCTCAGGGGTTGGAGATCCCTGATGTAAGAGAACATACCTATTTATAGAAAATATAGTCTAAAGTATTTAGGGGTAAAGGGCCATGATATTTTTAATTTGTCCTCAAAAGGTTCAGGAATAAAAATTGATGGATGAGTGTAGAGAGAGAAGAGAGAAGGAACATGCATGATTGCAATGATCAAGCAAATGGAGTAAAATGTTAATAGTAGATATATATGAGTAAAAGTATACGGGTGCTCTTTGTAGTATTTTTACTTTTGTAACTTCTGTAAATTTGAAATTATTTCCGAATAAAAAGTTAAGACAAAATATATGATTTAGGTATGATGCATTCTAATGAGGTAACAAAGTGATAGAGCTTAGAGAATTTGTTCTGGAAGAATGTATATTTTATGTGCTCATTCGGCAGTTTCTCTCATGTCAGATGTCTCAAGTTTGCTTTGGTAAATACTGGATCAGATCAATTCGTGGTTGACTTATCCAGTGAGTGCCTTTAAGTGCCAGTTTCCTCTGTTTTAGATACCAAATGTAGACAAACAGCATTAACATTCTGTTATGAAAATGTAAAAGTCTTATTTGTTTTGTGCTAGTTCACTTACTGATGAAGATGGTTCAGAGAAGTACTTACAGGACGTTACTGACATTTTCTCTCAAGGAGAATTTTGAAACTATAGATGCAGTTGGACAAGTGGTCATGTATGATGTCAGTGGTCAGAAATATAGTTAGAAAAAATGATTTGGCCTACAGTATTTAAGGTGTGTGTTAGCAGTTAACTGTCCACCGTCATAAAGGAATCTGAACTTTTATCCTCTTTAGGAAATTGTTTACATCTAAATGATTGTTTAACATATTGAATTTCAAAGAGCTATGGGGACACAATTCTCCTTTAAATAACCCTCTCTAAATTTACTTCTACCCATTATCATTACTTTTTGTGGTGAGTCCACCTAATAGTTCTGTTAAGTAACTCATAAAATTACCATCTTATATACACAGAAGTTCATTATAATTATTTTGTCAGAGGCTTTGCTAACTGAGATCAAGATACACTATGTCTGTGGCATCCCTTCCAATGAAATATACTTTAGTACTTCTGTCTTTGAAAAGTAGGCATTTTTGAAAAATCTTTGTATGGCTAAATGTTAAAGTCATATTCTTCTACAAATGGAAAGATAGAAAATCCATGAAGAACGGTGGGCTAGATGACAATTAAGATATCCAAAGAGAAAAGGGACAAGAAGATCACTTAGGACATTTGATGATCAGGGCCATGGTATGTACTTGGACTGAAAATAAAATAATAGCCTGCGCCATGAGAGCAGAGCTTCACTGAGGAAATATCTTCGATCAGGTGACATTTTAGGGATCTGGAATAGAGCAAACAGAATTTGTTAGCCTTTTTGTCTTACTGTCTCTTCTTTTTGAACTGTGCGTGGTGAAATATTAATAATGGATGCTTCTGAGTGTGTGTGAGTATTTCTTTGCTTTGTACAGTACCTCCTTCTTCTCTTTGCTCTGGACAAACTAATATCTACTTCACTTATTTTGAAAATTAAAAGAATGACAATATGAAATTATCTCACACATTTCTCTATATGTTGTAGATAGTAGATAAAGGTTTATTTAACCTTTGTTAAAATTCCCCCCAACCCCCTTTTAAATTCTATTGAGCAACCATGGTGGAGATTGTCAGGAAATTACTAGTGTGAGTTGTCTCATCATGTTCTTTGGCCTTCACCCTCCTTCATCCTATTCAAGCCTATTTTATTGCTGCTGGAAGGAAGAAAATTTATAGTAAGTCACTTGATTAAATAGTATTAATAGAATAATAGCTTTCTCTTTCCCATTACCTCTTTCTTTCCAAAAAAAATCATGTTCAAAAGCAATGTCTTCTAGAAAGCAGTCCCTGATTAGTCATCTCATTTTCTAGCCCACATTCAAGTTATTACCATTCAAGTTACCCTTAAAATCATATTTATGGATATATATTTATGTTGAGTAAATGTGTTTTAGGGGTCCTCCTTGCATATATTCTTCAATATAAATTCTGAGCTCCTGGAATATGGAGACAGTTGTGTTTTTGCTAGCCAAGAATCACTTTTAATAATCTGTTTGAATTCAGCCTAAGATAAGGGTTACTTGTTTAAAAAGTAGAAAAGACTTTTTAGGGAGGTAGAGGTAAAGGATTTGGGAAATTTGAAGAAAGAGGACATATGGATAAACCCATGGGCTCATGAATTATTTTGGAATTTACTTTCATTAGTTGCTTACTTGATTGCATTAATTATTTTACGGTAGATTTTCTTTCTTTTAACTTGAGGGTTTCTATAGAATGGATTAGTAGGCCCTCTACTTGCTCTAAAAATTTTTTGGTTCAATACATTGTAATTAGTTTCTGGTAATTAAATTATTCTCTTTTTCTTACAGATTGAGGTGGTGCCATGCAGCAAGAAGCAGCAAGATGCAGAGTTCGAGCTAGGAGGCCTGATATGGCACTTTATGTACCTAAAGCTCGAAGGGGTGTAGTACTCAAGACAGGTGACAAGGAAAAAAGCTGTGGTCCACCTAACTCCGTGGTGAAAGAAGAACAAAGAGAAGATTGTCTCTCCCAAAAAGAGATCTTTAAAGACAAACCTGAGACTCAAAGACCAAGTATTAATCCTGATGAAAAGGAGCACAATCGTAGGGAAGGAAAGAAATCTTCAACAAAATTAAAGAAAGACACATGCCCTCAAGAAAGAAGTAAAGATAGGATTTGTACTAAGAGAGGAGCCACGGAATCCAAAGACATATTATCCCAGGAATATCAGCAAGGAGACCTAAATCCTGAGGTTATTCCTAGTGTATCTTTACAAAGACATTTTAAACCAAAGAAGGTAGAATGTTTGGAGGATGAAAGCACAGATGTGACAGGACGTGAAAGGTTACTTCTGACTCAGTCTTGTTCAGAAATCAGTAAGGCTCAGGTTCTAAACAAACCATTCCAAAATGTGGAACTCTATGATCTCACTAGGCACAAACTAATTGGGGAAACATTTGAAGGCGGAGATTTGGAAAGCAGAGTTGAAACTGATGCCAAGGTTGTAGAGGTACTATCCCAGTTTCCTAGAGATTTTAGTTCTGTTTTGAAACCTGAGTGTATGATTGCACCAGTAAAACTCAGCTCTGATTCTGGAATTGTGCAACAAGGCATGCAAATATCAGATGGAATGTTGAAGCTCAGCAGTGGAGGCATCACCACTATTCTTGTTCCTGGAAGTTCAGATGGTGTCACTGATCAAACTTGTGTAGACTTTGAAGCTGAGAATGTTGGTGATAGAGTCAGCAGTACTCATTTCATCTTGGGTCAGAAAGGTGTAGATTCCATTCCTGAGACAATGAGTCACATCTCTCATAGAATGACTGTAGTCAACAAATTAGAGAGCACAAATGGCATTTTTGATCCAATAGTGATGAGAGAATGTGAGGATAATGGCAGTGCTGCGGATGAGTTATGTGTAAAGTATGGACCTTCTGATACAGTTGTCCTTGTTCATGAAACAGATACAGATAATGAGTCTAAGAGTGTAGGTGACATTACAAATGAGGCATGTAAGATAGACAATACAGATGATCAAATAACTGTAGGCAGCCCTTGTGTAGTTGCAGTTAGAATAGCTGATGAGGCCTGTAGCAACACAAGTAGTTTCTCAAAATATTTAGGAATGGATGAAGGTACAGCTTCTCTTCATGTAGCTGGAAGTGGGAATGACACTGAAAATTTCAGCAACCTGACTGCTTGCTCAGATATTTCTGCTAAGCATGTTTCATCCAGTTTCACAGAGTCAACAGGGAAGTTGATAGAGAGCTTGTCAGATTATGCTTCCTCCTTACCTATAAAGAAGATCTCCTTACCTATAAAGAAGATTGCTGGTAGTAATTGTAACACTTTTTTGGACTCTGAACTCAGTATGCTAAATGGGACAAAAGTACTTTCAGATAGTGCCTTGGGCAATGATCTAGATTGTACTGGTGATATAACAGAAGCATTGCAGAAACTGAAAACTGCTGAAGAGTTCAAAACAAAAGAGGAAGATGACTCAGAGAATATAGAATTTGGTATATCTTTTCCTGATGTAGAACCAGTATCTATGGGGACATCCATGGAACCGAAAGCAACTGAAACTTCTCGCATTGAGGGAAGTGCTGTTACTGAGGAGAGCTGGGAGTCCATGTTTAATGATGACGGTGACTGCCTGGATCCACGTCTTCTTCAAGAGGTATGTTTAATGGAAATTGCTTGATGCTTAGATAATTTATAGATTCACAGAGCCTGGGATTTGGGTGCTAATTTTGATAGACATTTGTGTACATTCCTCATATTAGATCCATTGTAAAGGTTCCTTCAAAAAACTAATAGGATTGTAGATTGAGAAAAGAATGTATGGTAGGTAGATCCTTAAAAAATAAAATATACAGAATTAAGCTATATCTATAATAACTGAGGCCTGAGAGATTTTAGTGAATAAAGATAAATTTAATAGATTTTGGCTATCTGTTTAAGAAGTACAGAGGGAAACTTCTTCAAAAGGGCTTTTCTGTGTTGACAGGATATATTTTACATGGGCCTATTTGAGGATAGGAGAATAATTTATTCATTTTTATTTTTCTAGTAGATATTTGAATTTTGTTCGATATTGTAGAGGGAACGAGGTAGAGAAAGGAAGGGTAAAATAAAGGAAGGTATGGTTGTTTTTTAAGGAGTTTATGCTGAGTTGAAGAATAAATGATTGTTGAGTCTATATAGAAAATATAAATGAATAATGACATGCTGGCTTGTTAGAGTTCATGAATACAGAATGTTAGATTTTTAAGGCATCTTAGAAATTATTGAGTTCAATCTTTTAATTTTCTTAATTTAGACATTCCTCTCTATCCAACATTTAAATTCCTTACCATAAATAAGAATCATTGTTTTTTTTTTAATTTATTTTTTAATTTTTAAAATTTTTTAAATTAAGTTATTGGGGTAACATTGGTTAATACAATTATATAATTTTCAGGTGTACATTATAATTTGACATCTATTATTGTGTTTACCACCCAAAGTCAGTTCCTTCAGCAACCATATATTTGATCCCCTTTACCTACTTCATCCTCCCCCTGTTACCCTATATTTGACCTTCTTTACCCCATCTACCTCCCTCGTTCTCTTCCACCCCCTACTCTCTGGTAGTGGGTTCATATAACTTTTGCCTGGAAGAGATAAAAATGATTTCTTTATAAAATCGCCGGTTTTATAAATGAAGAAATTGAAGCTCACTGGTCATACCTTTAGGAAAGGCAGAATCAAGATTATAGCCTAATTCTGTCTTAATCCAGTGTTTATGTTCTTTCTACTAGACCACTTCCTCACTTGTAAAATAGTTTTATTCGATTGACTCCAAAGAGCCTTTTAAATACTAAGGAATGAGTCTTTTGTTTCTGAGAATTAAACCAGAAGTATAGAAAAATGATGACATGCATGTGAAAGAGGCACATGAGACTGAAGAGAGGCTAGTCCATGGGATAGAATGGACTTTCCAATACCAAGCAGTTCCTCCTCACTCTTAGGTGTTTGCAGGCACACCTGTACCACAGTTAGCACTTCTTATGGTCAAATCAGGAAACGCTATGTTCTGACCACTCCTTAGAAATATAGAGCGGAAAATATCTATGAATGGGTATCCATGAACTCTTTGAAATTCCATGAAAATTTTTATTTTTTTTATAGCTTTCATCAGATTCTCAAAGGTGATGGTTCCCATAGTATGGTCCCTGGACCAGCAGCATGAGCATCACCTGGGAACTTGTTAGAAATGTAAACTCTTTAGCCCAGCAGTGTGTGTATTTATAAGGTTTTCAAGTGATTCTGATGCACATAAAGTGAGAACCACTGCTCAGAGGTAATACACAAACTTAAATGTATATCAGAAAGTGAGTGTGGCAACTAGAAATGGCTGGCAGCCCATATTCAGAAAAACACTGTTCAGAGGTTTTAGACGCAAATTGGATTAAGAAATACTAATAATGGGGGAAGTGAGATGAATATAAAGAAGTTACTAAGGATCTAAGCATCGGAAGAAGGCCTTCATCTAAGAAAAGAAACAGTGTTCATAGGAGTTGGCAAAGGGGCTACTCAAGGCGATAGCACAGGTTGGAATAGCAGGGAAAGAACAGCTTCCTATAAAAGAAGAGCATAGCACAGCACACAGAGCGTTTTAACATGTGGTAGGACTCTGACTATTCATTGAATGCATGTAGGCTACAGAGCAGAACTGATACTTCCTTTTTAAGGTTGCCTCCAGGCACTTTTAAAACATCATTGTTGCTAGTACTTGAATTCTGTGTGGTAGTTTAGGGTTATGGCTTCTCTATTGAGGTGGGCAGGGGGTTCAGGTGGGCAACTCTTTCTCAGGTCTTTTTTTTTTTTTAACAGTTAAAACATTTTATTCAGACACTGTTGCCAGAGGAGGAAAGAGACCTCGGTATAGCATCAATTCAGGCTCAATTCAGAATCTTTTTCAGATATTAACACTGTTTAGAATAGGTGCGAAAGAATTTCGGCAACTACTTAATAATTTGAGGAGCATAGTGCTATAGCCAAAGAGGACACCAGCATAACCAAAAGCTGAGAACTGCAGGAAAGTGTGGAGTATGTATTGTTTTAAGCTGAAGACAGCCGGTGCCTGAGTGTTGTGTTTGTATCTTTTGTGCTTGGTAGAGAGTGGGTCTGTGTTAAGGGATAAGGATGAATGAGAGCAAGAAAGGAGATGGATTGAGAATACTGTGTTGTGGATCCAATTTTAAACTTTGGTCTCCTGCGCTTTGGGTTTTAGAAGATATAATGATAATATTAAAAGATGTCACGACCCAATAATATTAATAGTCCTTTGGTGACTATTACTCTTAATTTATTATTTATATTGCTCCAAACATACTTTATTAAAGGCTAGAGTGTCTGCTTACCTTGAAAACTTTCCAACCAAAGATTTTTGGCTCTCTTCCCAGCTGGCCTGTTTCTTTGTTGACAAAGGTTAGACATATGGAAGTATGTTTAATACTTCTAATAGGCATGGAGGTATGCTGTAGAGCAGGGTGTGGCAGTCATTGGCATGTGAAGCAGTTTCCTGTGACATTTGAACCTCTGAAACTGCCTAAAAAGGATTGAGAGCATAGCTAGGTCATTAATGAGCTCCCAGAACTGCAACTCCTGATGAGTCTCTAAGATCACACTTAATTTCCTAAAGTGATGATATGAAATGCTTAAATTGGTAATTGATAAGGAAAAGGATGTTGGCATGAATTTTTAACCCTGAGATCTTGGTACAAGTAAGTACACAGGAATTATTGTCTATATAACATTTCTAAAGCCGCTGTGCCTCTAATGATGAGCAAACTTATTGATAGGAAGGTTAGTAGGATACCAGCAATAGCACATTGATGTTGATAGACATTGGTATCTGGTCCTTTCACTAAAGCTATTTCTGGCCTTGATTTGAGTTTGAAGGTAAGAATAACTAATTAGGTAAAAGTTTCCTTTTGTTACAGAAGGCTTCTAACAATGTGCAGCCATGGAAAAGAGGAGTAAAGGAACACTATATTCCTCTAACTAACTCATGTCCATATGCTCTGTCTCCCTGTAGTTTTTTTGCAAAAACACTCTCTGTTTTTAAGTAGAAAACCCATAATTGAAAGGAAAAATACATAATCTAACTAGTAAAAACAAATTATATGAAGTGCAAAGAGAGGAAAGTCATTGATATTCCACCCCGAGGGACCTCATTAATAGTTGGTAACCCATAACTTTGCTGTTAAATAGAAAATATTGAGCATTTAGAGTTTGATACAGTATAAATTGTAAATAGCTGTGTATATACTATTATTATCACTAGTATGTTAAAGGCCTGCCTAGAACAAGATTGACTCATTTCTTAAACCAGTGGGTCTGGGTCTGCATTTTGAAGGTCAGAAGTACATATATATTGCCTGTTGCTGGAAGGGACAGATAGGCAAGGACTAACACTATATAAAGCAATAAACAAGGAACAATTTTGATGTGGGAGAACAAGCCTGGGTGTGATGCAGGATCTTGGGTAGCTAATGAGGTAACTAATGGGAGCATAAGAATTAGAGGGATCGGGGACTAGAGAAATCAAGCAAGAAGTAGAATGGCAGTAAATGCCAAGTTTGCAATTTTTCTTAGGTCCAGTGGACAGATGTTGTCACTGATTACTATAGCGGTACCTGAGTTAAGCTATCAAAGTTAGTTTGGGAAGCTTCAAACCTCTAGCATTCCCCATTTGACTTAGTTTTACTATTTTAGACTAGCCTAGACTTATCTTTCTACTTCATCAATGATATCTCTCCATCTAGTCTTTCCAATCATGCTGAGAAGAGGAGGAAATATAGATATGTCTCCCTGCCTTCTTAGTTTTCCTCTTGACTTTACATTTAATCTACTGCAATGTTTTCACTATTCAGTGGATGTATATAGCATCTTCCCAAGAATGCTGACATCAGTCTGCCATGTTAAACTTTCTGTCCTGTCTGAGTAGGAACGAGGTCCATGTTGGTTTAGGATATTCACTTGGTCCTTGCCCAGTCATGTACCATTACATTACCATTCATGATAGAGAACTAGATCTCTCTGGCTCTTCTCTGGCTCTGGATCAGTAAATGATCATTTGAACCAATTGTTAGAGCACTGTACATGTCTCATTATTATAGATTTTTCTCCTTATTTTGTCCTTTTCTACTTGCCTTTTCAATTTCTACTTTCCCTTCTCTTTTACTGTGCTTTAAGCCAAAGCTATGGCTATTGCTTTCTCACACTGATGAAAATCAGTATTGAGATGTTGCCGATAGCTATTCTAGAGAAATCTTTAGCTGGTACCTTCTATGGCATTCTACCCATCCAGTTTTACAAATATTTTGAAGCCGTTTGTTTCTGGCCTTGGTTTCTTAATAAGGTTAATGGAGACATAGCAGATATATATTAGATAATTTTATTTGCAGTTAGGGAATACCGTTATTAGAGATTATTTACTCTTACACTTAATGTATAAAATGTTAGCGTTTAAACATCTGAAAAGGACTTTTTTACTGCTGAAAAGGACTTAAAGGACTTAGGCCCAAAGCAATATGGAAGAGGGCTGAAAGCTATAATTTATGGTATATATTAAACACTATCATTATCTTTTTATTGAACTCTTTTTGAATGTTTTTGAACTTAGGACATGAGAAATTCGAAAAGACTTAAAGTACTTTTTATTTTTTAAATAAATAGTGTTATTTCCCATCTGCCAAAGATGGGAAGTTAAATGAGTAAAATATTTTAACTAGAATGCTTTTGCTTTATTCACATTACCATAGACCAACATGAAAAATTCTTGGCTGTTCTCAGTTTTCTGTGATATTGTAATACCTTAGAATAGAATCAAATCCAGATAATCTAAAAACCTTATTATTATTTTTTTTTTGTTTATAGCTTAAGCTGTTCTCCAACCAAATCTTTTAATTTATCAAGGTTATAGTAAATAATAAAATATTAAATTGATTTTCTTCAGTAGATAGTGAATTAATAAGCAGTGAATTAACCACAAGATAACAGTGGAAGAGCAATATAGAACCAAAGTACTTGAATAACCTAACCTATATAGTTGAGAATTGACTATATGGGTTAGTTCTGTAAATAATCACGTGTAAATAGACATGGTGACATTTGAAGCTGCTGCAGTAGTGTTATACCACCAGCTTATGAGCAGGTCTCTGTCGTCCTTGCCCCTTTAACCCCTCTTGCCCCCCATATTTAAATTTGTTATAGCCATAACTATAAAGTGGTTTGTTATATTTAATTATGTACCCACAAAAAAATGTTCTTCATACTTTTCAAGATCTGAGCTAGGATTATATCACAGCCCTTGAACTTTAAGGATTAGGAACTATAACTTGTTTAAGAGATAGAACTATACTTTTTAAAAAAAGTAGAATGTTAGTATTGAGAGGGATCTGTAACATAATGTAGTCTAGTCCTCTTCTTTTATAGGTAAGGTAACTAAGGCTCAGAAAAGTTGGTACTTACATAGCTAAGGTTAGTGCTGGAGTTGACACTAGAATCCAAGTGTTCTGGTTTCTTTGAATTGAAAATGCCATTGATAGTCAAATAAATACATCATTATTTTATGTATCACTAAGAAAGAATTTAAACTTCATACCGTGCTTACCCTTTAGAATTTTTATTTTATAAATATTGAAAGAACTCTTTTAGATTTATTAGACAAAATTTTTATCATATAACATTTCTTAAATAAGGAAAATGTAGGTGAAATAAATCGGTTAAGGTTTTTCTAAAACTTCATATTTATAGTCCAGCTCATTCTAATAACTTCTCGACTCAGTCATTGACCTTGATGTCTTTCCATTCTGTATTAACTTCTGTGTCATCAAGAACTTTGAAGATGCAGCATTTCTTAAAGATTAAAAAAAGCAAAAATCATTGTTGCTGTATTCTTAAGCTACCTTAGCACTTATATAGAGCTATTCTTATACCTGAGATTTTCTTCCACATTATTAACCATACTTTCTGCAAGTTTTGGTACCAGTACTTTATGCTCATGCATATGCAGGCAAGCAATGATAATATGCACTATTGTAAGATGCATCCTGATGTCAAAGATGTTAAAGTGTGAAAAAAATGTGCATCTTAGAATTGACAAAATATGATATATATCCAGCTGCTAAATGTTATGATATAGTAGTATATCATTTATATAGTAGTATATAGGAGGGAGAGACCAGCAAATTTGAGTAAATAGGGAAAGCTTCAAGAGGAGATAAAGATTGAAGGATCTTAAAGGAGAGGAAGGATCAAGAGCAGACAAAGCATTCCAGGTTGTAAGAACAGTTTGTAAAAAATACAGAATATTCCCAGATTTAGGTCCTGAATTTGTCATCAAATACTTAGGTGCCAGGCAGTATTCTAAGCACTTGCTGTATCATCTTATTTAACCATATATGTATCTATGAGTTGAAATTACTATTATTATTCTCATTCTTTTTATATATAAAACTGAAGCATAGTGGAGAAATGGAACTAGAGGCACAGCACTAAATATTTTTGTTGATTTTACTTAAATCACCTTTCCCCTTTTCTCCCTCCCAAATAAAATTCTTGAATCCATGTTTCACTTCTCCAAGGAAAAGTGATAAATCATTGGCATTGCAAGTTCTCATTTCCTCATTTGGTGGGAAAAGAAGCATAATATAAAACGGAATGCTTGATGGGATCTAGTTGGACTTTTGATTATCAGAGAGAAGACACTCTTGGGTGTGCAGGTTTTGGGTGGTCAGTACTAGCAACTAGGTTTTATAACAGGTAAATGACAAAATGACTCTCAGGGCTTTGCTGCCACTTTCTATTTTTCCATTTCCCTCTGCTTCCAATGTGAAATAGCCTTTAGTTTTTTCATAGGAGAGTAGAATTTTAAGTATTTTTCATTATTATTAACTTTTTTTACTAACCTGCTATGTAGGAATTCCTTTAGGTAGCTTTCATGCTAGGGATCTTTAATTACTTGTACCACTTAAATTTGTTTTAACAAATTCCTTTGTAAGCTATATTCAACAAAAGGTAGACTAACAAAGTATTTTCACTTTTAAAAATTGTGTTTTTGTTCACTTCCAAAAAAAGAAACTATGAGATGAGTCTGATCAATAAGCTCAATAAAACAAATGTTATTAATTCATCTCTTCATCTGTTTTCTGAAATTCATTTTCCAAGATGTGCCATTCGTAACTCACCACATTAATCATTTTACTTTTTCTCACACACTGGTTGATAGATGCAAGTTGAGTTTCATGTGCTGACTGTTTTTGTTAGAATTTCAGTACCTTTTCAAGTATTCCACATGTATAATATAAACTGGCTGATAGAACCGTGGTCATTGTTGTATTTATGAACAACGTTAATGCAATGCTAAAGGTCAAGGAATGGGAATATAGAGACGAGGAAAATTGTTTATATAAGGGAGGATGTTTTATAATGCTGTGGCTTGATGTAACAGTCACTTTTATGCTTCTTCCTCCTCCTCAGTTATCAGGGAATATGAAGAATAGAAAAAGCATCCAAGAACCTAGATTTGATTATTACAACAATGAAGTTCCTGATATTGACCTCAGTGATTGTGAATTCCCACATGTCATTGAAATTTATGACTTCCCCCAAGAATTTCGTACTGAAGACCTTCTACGAGTTTTCTGCAGTTATCAGTAAGTATTTGCAAATCATTGGGGATATTAGAGAAGGTGGAATGAAATTTTCTTAAAATGTTTTCTGAAAAGTCATCTCTTTTGCTTTATATTCCCTGTCGTTTAGCATCAAGTTTGTTTATTATCTGTTCCAGGTCCATTAGAAATGGACTGTATTAAACAAACCACTCTTCTAAGTTCCTTAAAAATGCCAAATAGCCTTTGTAGACCCCATTTTAGCATTTAGAAAGAACAATATCAATGATTTCTAAATCTACCTTCATTGTGCATTTATTCCATTTATAATTATTGTAATTATTAATACACAGTTGACTCTTGAATAAGGTAGGAGTTAGTGGTGCTGACCAACCCACACAGTCAAAAATCTACGTATAACTTTTGACTCTCCAAAAACTTTAATAGTCTTCTGTTGACAGGAAGCCTTACCTATAACATAAACAGTTGATTAACACATATTTTGTATGTTATATGTATTATATGCTGTATTATTAAAAAAATAAGCTAGAGAAAAGAAAATGTTATTAAAATCATAAGGAGACAATACAAATACAGTACTGTACTGTATCAACACTGTAAATTAAAAAAAATCACATATAAGTGGACCTGCACATTTCAAACCTGTGTTTTTCAAGGGTCAACTGTATTTGGATATATACCTTCCATCTTTTTTTGTGTGTTTACTTGTTCCATCTTTTTCTCTTCTTTCTTGCCTTCTTTTGGATTGATGAGGTATTTTTTTCTCATTCCATTTTTTGGGGAAACGATACTCTGTTTCTAGTCTTTGGTAGTTACTCTGGAAATTACAAAATGCATGCTTAATTTTGTCAGTGGCTAAAGTTAATATTTTTACACTTTTTCAAACACTATTAGGGCTTTTAGCTCCATTCCCCAGTTTCGTTCTTCACCTCTTCTCCACCCCAATTTATATGCTGTTGTGATTGAGCATTTTGATCCTTTTAAATTTTTTCATTTTTTCTTTTAAACCCCATTTGATGTTTTTGTTTTATATATTCAGCATTTAGGTTTACCCATTTTCTGTGTTTTCATTTATCTCTTCTTGCCTCTCATATGTTCCATCTGAAATATTTTTCCTCCTGGATGAAACGTATTATTTAGCATTTCATTCAGTAACTGTTTGCTGGTATGGTAACAAACTCAGTTGGTTTTTTGTGTGTTGTTGTTTTTTAATGGCTTTATTTCAACTTCATTCTTTAAAAATATTTTTGCTGGATAATAAAATTTTAGATTGGCAGTTATTTTTCTCTCAGAAACTTGAAGTTGTTATTCTGTCTTCTGCCTTTCTCAATGGAGGATGAGAAGTCAACTGCAAGTCTAACAACTATCACTTCTGAATGTAATCTCTCTTTTCTCTTTGGATGCTCTTCAGATTTTCTCTTTTCTTTGGTATTCTGCATTTTCAGTATGATGTGACTTTGTGTTTCTTTTTACTTATTCTTATTGAGATTATTTGGGCTTCTTAAATCAATGAATTAATGTATTTCATTGGTTTTGGAGAACATGCAGACATTATCTTTTTAAATATTACCTGTACCAGTTTCTCTTTTACCTTCTCTAAGATGCCAATTAAATATATATTAGACCTCTCACTTAATTCTCATGTCACCTCTCTTTCATATTTTCCATTTCTTTGTCAGTTACATTCTGAATAATTTCTTTACCTCTGAATTCCAGTTCACTAATTTTTTTATTCAGTTATGTTTAATTTGCTGTTAAATCTGACCTTTGAATTTTTAAATTTGATTTTACTATGTTTTTCATTTTTCAAAGTTCTCTATCTTTTCCAAATCTGCATGGCCATTTTTTAGTTTCTTGTTTTCTCCAAATATTTTCAAGATTTAAAAAATTTCTTTAAGTATATTAAACATAGACCTCCTATAGTTTATGTCTGGTAATTCCTCTATCTGAAGTCCTTTTAGTTCTATTTCTGCAGATTCTTACTCCTAGTGCCTTGCTTTTTGGGAAGTTTAGTTTTCATGTTTGTTCGTTTGTTTGTTTTTACTGTGAGCCACCCATTTTCCTTGGAAGTTTATATATGGGAATTGAGATTTTTCCTGAAAAGATTTGTTTTTTTCTGCCAAGCACCAATGGCACTAACAGTCCAAGAACACTGTAAATGAAATTATTGATTTGAGGTCAGAATAACCTCAGAAATAATCAAGTGGAGAATGATAAAAAATAATTGTTATGTGTCTCAACTAGTTTATTTTAACAACACTTATAAATGTCCACTTAGTTGCCAGTCTTTGATGTGGTGCCAGGACTTTTTTTTTTTTTTTTTTTTTTTAAGTTATTGGTAGGTTGATAGAAGAGTTCTTGTATGTCACCATCATAATATATTACTATGACTTCCAGTTTCATTTTTTTAGAGTAAGAACTTTAACGTACCTTCAGAGTCATCTGAGTGCATATTGCTTATAGGGTTTACTTTTATCCATATTGCTTTTGGCTGTTTTGCCCTAACATAATTGATAATAGTTCTTTGAGTTTTTTAGTGACTTCACCTTTCTCTGGTCTTCCAAAGCATTCAACTTAGTTTTTATAGACACAACAATGCTTCTGTTTCCTACTCGTTTCATTGATTTAATTTTATTCATTTATGTAGTGAATGTAAATTGAAATTGATATAAGTGGTTTTGAAAACAATTGCACTGACTCTTTGTATGCATATCATTCCTAAAAGCATAGGTAAAGATAAAAGAGTCAGAAGTATACCTCCATATCTCTAGTTTATAAGATAAAAACAAACTTCAGGAATAAAGAAATAATCTAGAAAGAAAGTTATTAAAAGATTTTCAGGGTCTGAAAAGAGGTCAATACCAAGAAGAATTATACTTAAATGCTGTAATCTTGATATTAAAATTTTTAATTGAAAATTAATTCATGTAACTCTTGAATTTGTACGATTTTATATCATTTGGGGATAGCGTCCAACTTTTTCTTAAAGGGCCAGATTATAAATATTTTAGGCAACTCTGTTATCGTTGCACAAAAGCAGCTATAGACCATATGTAAACAAATGAGTGTGGCCGTATTCAGTAAAACTTTATGTGCAAAATCAAGTGTTCTATTTTTCTATAAAGTTCTAGAACAGGCAAACTAGCTAGCAGCAATATACATCACTTATATTTGGTTGTGGGTGCTGGGCATCAGTTCTATAAAAGAAAGAAGGGGTGACTGAATCCTGGAGGACAGTTAGTCTCTCTCATAGACCTTCTAAATATATAGTGTAGGTGGTCAGTCAAATTTATTAGTTATGTAAGACCCACTATTAGAGCCTGTTTCATACAAAATGCATTGTAGATTTTTAAAAGCAGTCGATGAGATTAAATCACAAATTAAAACTACCTTAGATTGTTATTAAAGGATCTAGACTTTCCTGAAGATTAGTTAATTCTTATGAATTGTTAACTTCCCATTGATTTGTTTTTTCCTGATCTTAACCTGTAAGACCATTTAAAAAAATAAATCCAAAAACATCCTCAAAAGAAAAGCATTTGAAAGGATTTTAAATTCCAAAGTCTAAAAGACCCTCCAGAACCCATCTAGGTCTTTTTCTGTCCTTTTTGTAAACTATCTTACGCTGTAGATTTCTACTATTGAATTTTTTCTGTCTCTAACTCCTGTGGTCATTTTATGTTATGGTCAAACTTACCCTTACATTCAGGAAATTTTCTTAACTACCTACAAAGCCTTCTTTATTTCTTTTTCCCTCAAAGGAATTTTTTTCTTAACTGATTGTTAAAGAAGAAAAATATTTTAGGAGTTGTCATTTTTTTTTCATTTTAGTGCTTTATAAAAATAAAGAAGAGGTCAAAAGAGTACAAAAGCCTATAATATCTGAGCCAAATACTAGTCAGCTTCATGTTTTAATCACCATTTTCATCAATATTAATAATCTTCCTGATGAGTATCGCTATTAATAATAAAAAATAATGAGCACCATTCATTTACTAAATGTCCACTGAGTGCTCAGCACCGTGTTCTTTGCCTTGTCATGGATGATCTCATTTCCATTTTTACAACAACTCTGAGAAGTACTATGCCTATTTCTGCAGAAGAGCAGAACTAGCTCAAGAGAGTTTAAACCTGCCCAAGGATTCAAAGTGTGGCAGAACCCAAGTCCGTTTATATCTCTGACCCTCAAACACTCGAGTTCTTTCCACAGTACTATATTGAATCCATGAGCAGTTTTAAGCTTCTAACTGAAAAAAATAACTGTTGTCATCCTGATAGTCCTTGAGCTCACTATATAACTCTGCTCTAAAATGATGGTGTTTTTTTAGTACTTCATTGGTCATTCTTTTGATTCTAACTTAATTGATATTTCTCTTTATCTTGATTGCTTTTATCCTGATTTTTTCTGGCTTTGCCACATTTCTTTCCTATTTTCTCTTTCTACTTCCCTTCTACAACAAGTAAGAAAGAATAGATCAACCTTTCTGATTATAGTTGTCCTTTCTCTCCATTACTTGACTTTTTTTTTTTCCTTTGAATGACCTGTCTCCCACTGCCTTTCTGTCTCTATCTCTATCTCTGTTCTTGAGCCTACATATACATTAAATCCAGGTGACCTTCCCCGTCTACCTCCTCCTCTAGTATTCTTCTATCCCTCCTCTGAACTCCCTTTCTACCTCTTATTTTGTGCCCATTTCCCCATAGAACATCTCTTGTAAATAGTGCGTAAAAAAAAAATAACTCCCCAAGGGACTTGTGAGGATTAATTAGTTGATGTCTGTAAAATGGCTGGGAACGTAAAATACTCCCAGGTAGTTCTTTATGATGGTATTATTGCTTTTAAAAATCAGTGGCTTCTTCTGTTCTCCAAGCTGTTTTTTATGTCATTATCCCCATTCCACCTGTGCTCTTGTTGAGTGTTTCTTATGCAATGCTTTATGGGACTTTATTTGAAAGGTGTTTCATGGATGTAAATTTTAAGAAAGAAAATTGTGGGGTTTTTTTTGTTGCAGGAAGAAAGGATTTGATATTAAATGGGTGGATGATACACATGCCCTAGGAGTATTCTCCAGTCCGATTACAGGTAATTTACCAATGGATTTTAGTGTTCTTTTCTTATTGCACATTTTCTTCTGCTACTTGTCCTTTTTTTCTCTTCAGTTCCAGCCAACTGGGATTTTATTTAGCCAGTATAGGTACTTGGCAGATAAAGGTTTTTTAGGCATGGTATTGGTTACCCATGTGCTTCCCTTCTCCCTTTTTATGTTAATCTGAATGTATTTGGAGAAATAGTCAGCTCCTTTCGAGGTTGTTTGTTACATAACTGTGTTACGCTAGTACATAAACAGATTATAGGTAGAGATTTAAGATACTTGTGTGACTAAATCTTACAGTACTTATGATTTTTCCCCCCAGACAAATGAATTTGCAGTAGCCTTTTAACCTATCCAGTGAGAGATTGTAATATCTGCTTTCTGAATATATGATTGGGCCTTTTCACATATATCATTGGCCTCATGTTACATCTGATGCAGAAGTATTCAGAGAAATTAGAGATTTTGGTTCTTGTCTGAACCACCTAGAAGAGAGGTCTGCAAACTTTTTCTGTAAAGGGCCAGATAGTAAATATTTTAGGGCATATGGTCTTTGTTACTACTTAACTCTGCTGTTGTAGCAAGAAAGCAGCCACAGACAGGATGCAAACAAATGGGCATGGCTGTTTGAGTAAAACTTTATTTACAAAAACATATAGTTGGCTGGAAATAATCACAGAGCCATAGTTTGCTGATCCCTGATCTGAAAATAATCGCTGTTAAGTTGTTCCTTAGGGATTTTCTAGAGCTTACCATCCCCCTTTGCTTGCCATGAAAAAAAAAAGCATAACATCTAGGAAATACTTTCTAAGAATTAGTCTTAATTTTCCTTTGCATCACTCTTCTTCATGTCTTTTCCTCCTTATATTTATTTCTCTTTGTAGCTCGTGATGCTCTGGGTAGCAAACATGCCATGGTGAAGATCCGGCCCTTGTCACAGGCCACAAGAGCAGCCAAGGCCAAAGCTAGGGCTTATGCTGGTGAGTCTATAGTCTTGGTTTTTTTCTTGATGTTAGTGTTATTGTTTTTTGCAGCACTTGAACAGCATCCAGAGTTCTAAAGACATAACACTTTTATTATTAGTGTTAAAGAAAGTGTGTTTTTAAGGAAAAATAGAAAAGATAAATGGCTATGTTGGAAATGTGGCATCTGAACAGCCACTTGGAGAGAATGGGAGATGCTAACTGCAAACAATGCAGCAACCATTTTCTGATGACATCCTTACCTAGTTTACCTCTGTGTTTAGCTGTTTCATAAGAGTCACTATAAGAAATTGTGTTAATAGAGATAATGAAGCAAGGGTTGTTTGTGCTTTGCCATGTTAATTTCCTCTGATCTTCATCTTTCAGGCTTGTATTAATTACTACTGATGCAGCCCTTATTAGTCTATTTTGTATGTTAATTACTGAGTTAAATCACTTAGAGCTATAGTGTTTTACGGTACTCCCTCTTACACCCTCTCTTTCTCCCATTGAGAATTCCTCCACCCAGCAAAAGAGCGTCCTGAGACTTCAGCAGCCCTAGCCAGAAGGCTGGTCATCAGTGCCCTTGGGGTTCGAAGTAAACAGAGCAAAACTGAACGGGAAGCCGAACTCAAGAAACTGCAAGAAGCCCGAGGTGAGTTGAAGTGATGGCGTTCTTCTCTAATCCCTTTAGAGCTCACTATAAGATATGTATTAAAAAACAAAATGAAGCTTATTCCATTTTGTCATTACTGTTTCCTAGAAGCCTCCCAGGTGTATTGAAATAGTTTTCATGCCTTACATTTAGGAGGAATACATTTCAGGATTTGTCTGCATGTTTTACACACCAAGGCATTTTAATCCATTCTCTTACTGTTGTTTTCCGAGATAGGTTCGGTTTTCTCAGCTCATCCATGGCTTTTTCTATAGTTCTTGCTCCAAACGCTGAGAAAATTTTTTCTGTGAAAACACAATAATCTCTGAGGCAGAAAACATTATTTGCTATGGTTTTACTGGGCCACGATTGCCATGGTATTATCAAATGGTTTAGATCTTAAGTGAAGACAAATTAAAGAAAAGCCAGCAGCTGACATTGATAACTGAAGGAGGTATTTTTTTTTTTCTGTTTAGACAGTCCTGAGTAATCGGTGTCATGAGATTTTCAGGTTTATCCAAAGGGGTCATGAGTTTTAAAAGGTTGCAAAGCACAGCAGCAGTGAGATAGATTGGTTTCTGAAGAAAAGTGATTTCCCTATAGTTTTGAGGTTAAAATCTCTCTCTCCACTTTATAGGCTGTTGATTTGTCTGTAAAGGTTTGAGATTCCAGCTTTGTACTTAAGTACTTTTTATCAACCTTCAGGCTGTAGACAGTCTCATTGCCTTAAGCTCACGATCTGTGGAATCTGTGAAGGCAATTTATTCTTAAAATTCCACTTACTGAAAAGTAACTTCATTTTTTCATTAAACGAATTGAAGTTTCAAACTCCTTGTTTATTGCCAGTCTAACAAGGCCATTAATACTTCCTGTCCACTCTGCTTTGGTGATGGCAGGCAGCTTCTGGACTCTCAGCTGCACTGGCCAGATAACTAGTGACAGAGTATATTTTTGCAGGTGCTAGAGTTTCAGAACAGAACCCAACTAATGTTTTGAAACTTTAATGATTATAATAAGGCAGTCTTGATTTTTCCATTGCATTGTTCACTCAAAGGCCTCTTACAGTCTATAGAAATGAGAGGATTCCTCTAGTTTTTATCAGTGGCAGTAACAGAATTAAAGGAGAATGCAGTGTCCTTAACTCTTTATTAATTGGTTGTCTCTGAAGAAAATGATTTCTCTGTGATAACCACAGTTATCTCAGAAGATCAATAGAGGGTAATAACAATGGTATCTATAAAAAGAGTAGTGACTTTTTGCAGTGTATCATGCTTTCCTGTGTATCTCTACAGGTATCCAGCAACAGTTTTACATGGATATCAACTTGAGTATTCTCTACTTCTCTGTAGGCACATCAGCATGCAGCTCCACCTGAAGTATTTGTGTTCAGTACCCAGCTATACAAAGGACAGTTCAGTGATGCAGTTACAAATGAGACTGTTGGCTAAGTGGGTACCTTATTACTAACTTTTTTAAAGGAGGCCTTTAGTTGTGAATAGAGACTCATTGTGATAAGTTTCTACTATCTATTGGTGCCGAGGCTGTACATATTATAGAGGACTTTTCCTTTAATAAACTTCAGAGCTTTCTCATTCTTTATGTCTGAGAAGATGCATGTGGAAGATTCCTGATTTATCTCTTTCTGGCTTCTTTATACATTGAGCAGATACTCTTGGATCTGCCTGCATGGACCCCAGAGTTTCTCACTTAGCAAGATTATTTTTCTGTGGAAAATAAAAGTACTATTTAGGTATTAAGCAGAGTAGATATTTTTGTTCTAGACCTTTTTCCACTAGAAGGAGAGGGATCAACATAGCATAGTGGATAACATTATAGACTTTGGAATAAGACTGCCTGGGTCACACCTTAGCTCTGCCATTTATTGTCTCTGTGACCTTGGACAGATCTTTTACTCTCTGGAAGCCTATTTCCTCATCCATAAAAGGGAAATCAAGTGAGATAATCTACAAAAGAGACTTCATTTTCAAAAACCGTAGGAATGCCCTCGCTTCTGATTATATAGCCTATAGTGTGTGATAAATTTAGCTGCAGCTGTTTTTATTAGTAATAGGAGCAGTATCATTATATGGTGAGTCCAGCACAGACTCCAGTGCATGTTTTTTTATCATTACTCTTTTTATTTTACATTTCCTATACTACTCTCAGCTACATTCAGCTTTCGCTGAGAACCCGCCCTGTGCAATGCATTGTGTTCTCTATTTAGGAGAATTAGAGAGTTGGCAAGATTTGGTCCTTTTAAGTGGGGATATCTGCCTTGAATAAGGAAGAAAATATGAACCTTGTTTCTCTTCTCACTTTAGTTTGGAAGATTGTAAGATTAAAAGCCATGGGTTTTTTGTTAATTAAAAGTATTAGAAGGAGACTCCAGGTAATGTAACATGTTATGATAACTCTGTGATGGATGGTATTATCTCCAGTTTAGAGCTGGCCCAGAGAAGTTACATAACTGTCCTAAGGTAACCTAGCTGGTAAATTGAGGCGGCATTTGAACCTAGATCCCTCTAATTAAAACCCATGCTCCTTCTATAATACTTGTGATCTCTCTTGAAGGATTTGGGGGCAATTAACATTTTTTCCCAGAAAAAAATATTTAAAATGTTTTCGGGTCTTCAGAAAATAAAATATGACAGGCTTCTTTTTAGTTACTTATTCCAATGGTTAGCTGCTTCCACTGTCAGAAAATTCTTCGTTAGGTTTAACTTAAATCTGTATGATAGTTTAAACCAATTTCTTCTTCTTTTTTTCTTAGTAGAGAAATAGGAAACATCTGGACACCATTCTGTTCTAACAACCTTTAACTATAAAGATCAAGGGTAGATCATTTACAAATGAGGAAATCTGGGCTGTAATAGAGTTTTTGCCATTAACTAGTTGTGTGGCTCTGGGCGAGTCTCTGTGCCCGTTTCCAATGAAGTGAAAGTAATGTCTGACGTAACCTAATCTAATATGTGTAAAAATATTTAGAAAAGTGCTTTACAAATTCAGAATACTATTATTTGTGTGATTCTTAGGAAATTAGTGTTCATTATAATATGAGCCAGCAATGACAAACACATACTGTGTACTGCTGTTCCCCACCCATTTCCCATAGCAGTGCTCATCAGTCATGACATTCTTGGTGAGTTTTGACTCAGTGACCATTGCCAGTTGATCAGAATTAGAATGGGAATTGAGATCTGTGTGCCTTCTTAATATTAATAATACTATAATCTCCTTTTTCCCACTTGAAGAATTCTGTCTGGCACAGTGTCTGGTTTATAAAAAGATACTCAATATATATGCATGTTCATTGACTGAATATGTGAATGATTTGATTACTTTAATTTTTCTTCACAAATCTTATTTCATTCATAACAGTACTCTGAACCTTGTCAAGTCCTCCATGTGTTTCTTTATAAAATCCAGAGTTGAACAGTGCATCTGAGACCCTTCTAATTAATGAATTTGGAATTCGTGATTCTGAGATTTAAATACTTTCCTACTAAGTTCCTCCACCCTACTTTGATCTTTTTACCTTTTTAGTGAGAGGTCTATGTCTTAGTCCTTAAAAAGGAAAGAGTTGAGAAAAGGGAAGTATCCAATTCATTTTAAGCAAATCATACTATATATATATATCTGGAGGATAAGAGTGTTATTTCCTAAGCCTTTGAACATGTGGAAAGTATATTTTTCAGTCCAGATGAGTACATAACAGATTAGAACTTCACTGAGAGTGGGAAATGAAAGCATAGATCATCCTTTAGTGCTTTATGTATGTTTTTTTTTTTCAATTTTGTTTTTTATTTTTCAATTATAGTTGACATACAATATTATATTAGTTTCAGGTATGCAACATAGTGATTAGACATTTTAATAATTTTTGAGATTACCCAATAAGTCTAGTACCCATCCGACACCATACATAGTTATTACATTATTGTTGACTCTATTCCCTGTGCTGTACTTTATATCCTTGTGATTTTTTGTAACTGGCAATTTGCATATCTTAATCCTGTCCCCCTTTTCACACCCCCAAAATCCATCCCATATAGCAGCCATCAAAATATTCTCTGTACATCCTTCTAGGCTTTGTATTTGATTTAATCACATTTAATCCACTAATACACTAAATGATAAAACTTTAAAGACCAAACTAAGGAATATGTGTAAAATTTACTCACATTCTACTTACCAAACTACTTGATTCTCACCTGAAATTGGAGATAGTTAGCATTACTTCTCAGAATAAGTTTCCTTCTCATTTTCAAAGCCTGTTATAATTTTACTTCATAATTTATTTCCATTTTACTCTTGATGATAGGTGATTAATTGGTGGTCCTAAAAGGCCGTTCTTTGAGTTATAGGCCTGAAAGAGTAAACAATAATTTGATCTCCTAGTTTTGATGAGTTAAATCACTAAGAACTTAAAATCATCTCTATAGGATAGTCAACTATAATGAAAAAATTAATCATAGTTGCTACCTTCTGAAGTCCCTTTTCAGGCATTCCATTTTTTTGCCTGCAAGAGTGGTACTGCATTGCCGACTCAAAAATCTAGGTCTTGGGGCATTTTCTTGATATCTTTTCTCTTCTGATAAGAAGTTCCCTTAATTTCTAACCACATTTTTCATTTTAATGTGGTCTTTTTCTCTGAAATGCAGTATTTCTCCATATTTTTGGTGTCACCTGCTGTTTAATAAACTTACATCCTGGCCTAGATCAGAGAGGAACATGTTGATCCTAGGACTAACTGAACATTTCACCAACTCTTGCTAAGTAAATAGCATGTAATTCTTTGTGTTGATACTTAATTCATTGATAATCAAATCTACTCTCCAGAGTTATATGCCACTTTTTAACACTTAGGTAATCCAGACTATATTTTCCTGGCCTATTAATGATTATATAAATACTTGGTAAGCCTAAAATCTAAAACCTTCCTAAAATTAAGAGATTATTTATATTACTTCTCCTTGATCTTCCAGGTCTGTCAAACCATAAAAGAAGGCAATTAGATTATTAGTTTAACCAGACTTGTACTGCAAGTCTTCATGTTGATTATTACTCTGTAGGTGACTACAGGTAGATTTTGTGATGATTTTCTCCATTTTCTTAGGTGTAGAAGTACATTTTTAAAGTTGCAATTTATATCTTTTTTTATTTTTTTCAAACATGACACCAAACTGGCCCTTTTTTAATCTTTAGCACTTTCTGTTCCCTCAGCGAGAAGTGATTTTAGTCAGCTCATTTAATATAATCATTTTTGCCTATTTATTTATTATGCTGGGAATGAAAAGCTTTTAGGGCCAGTTATGTGAATGCTTTAGGTTAATCATTTCATACTAATTCTTCTATTCTTCCTTACTTCTTTGCCATTATGGCTACTGTGGGGCTTTCTCTTTACTTACTGTTGTTAATTGTTGGAGGTAAAGTCAATAAGAGCTTTTTCACGCAGTCTGCTTTCCTTTTCCTTTAATAAAGGGACAGCATGTTTCTTTAACTTTGTCAATACATTTTTTTCCCACATTTTTTCTTTTTCTTTGTAGATATTTTCAGATATCAGGATAGTGGAATGTATGCTATTTGAAGTATTAAGGACCTGGGTTCTAGCTTCAATTTTTCACTGTTTAACCTTAAGCAAGTCATTTAACCCCCTTCCAAGCTTCCATTTACTCTTTAAAATGAAGATTATATTTTTAAGTCTCATCATAATCTATATTTCTCTATTCATGTTTATGTTTCTAAATTTATACCTCACATTTTTATTATTTCTTTGTACTTCTCATATGGTTTTCTCATGGCTTATAATCAGAATTTCCTCTTATATTTACATATTTTTGGTAATAGAAATCAACAATTAGAAAGCATTAGGGTAGAGAATGTTTCAGAATTTAAAATTTTTCCAATTTTAGAAAGTAAACATGGTTATTTTAATATTTGTTTCATAGCACTAAAATCAAACACATTAACATTAATATTTCTGCAGAACAGTGTATGACTAAGTCATCCTAAATGGCTTAAGTAAAGATTATAAACAGCCTCATATCCCTCAGGTTAATTTATCACCAAATTAATTTTGGTCCAAACTTTATAAAATAAAACAAAACTTTGTTTTCAGAACTGCTTTCATTTTGGAATGTGGATTATGGGACAGTCATTATATTTTTCTACTGCACCTGGATTTCTTTTCTTATAACTTCCCATATTGCTTATTGAAAACTTTGAGTTCTAATAATTCACTTTTCTGGTTTCTTCACTTTTTTCTTGTAATCCAGAACCAGTTTTTGATTGTTTTTTTCTAAGGTTACCTTCGATCCCCTCCTGACTTTCCTGTTTGTGAGAGTCAGAACCATACAGTGCTTTCCTAAGAAATGTGCTGTTTCCTAGAGAGTCCTAGCCCAATTCAAGCCTGTCTTAAAGCCAGATCACAGGATATTGAATTAGTGAGCCTTCAGTTTGGAATTCGCTACCCCCATTTTCTGCCTCTTGTAACTTGCTGCTATATTCTGATTGTGCCACAAGATGGTGCCCAAATAGCAGTGAATTTCTCTTTCTTAGATTTACAAGTGCCAGTCAGCTTCCTGACCAAGTTCTTTGCCCTTAAAGTACAGTCAGTTATAGTAAAGGAATTTTATAAGAGATTCTGCTGATTTGGAAAGATATGTCAAAATAGCAAGTATTAACTCTAAACTCACCGTGATTTTGATTTCTGTAATCCCTCTGGTTCATGACTTGCAAAATCTTGTACAGACATCTGAAATAATAATAGCCTGTAGAAGGAAGCACTTAGGCTTATCACCTACATTTTATGGTGTCAAGATAAATGACAAGCCATGGAATTAGAACGGGTATTGTGGCACCTAATGAAGTGCATATGCCATCAAACCATGTATGGTCTGTATTGTCTCAGGTCTTGGTGAAAGTGTTAATTGGAAATGAAGCTTCTGTGCTAAAAATTGAAGATGGATAACCCAGATTTGTGCATTAAAAAAAAAAAAAAAGTCTTTAGTTTTCCCTCAGTTATATGTGGTCATTATTTCCTGCTAGAATTGAGTATTTTAGAAGATTTCTGGTTCCTGAAAGTGTTCTGAAAATACTAAAATTCAGTTTGCCTCTGAAATATTTTTTCTAAGATTATAATAGATAGATATGGCTAAAGCCAGTAGCTACCATTTGAGCAGGAAGTTAGAAGAAGAATATTGAAACATTCTTGATCACTTGAAATATTTGAAAAGATAAGTAAACTGTGAATAATGGGCAATTATATTTAAGCACTCAACAAAATTGAGAAATAGAATTCTAATAAATATATTATCAGCAAGACTAGAATCTAGATCCTGCTAGATTCTGACTTAATCTGTATACTTTATATTCCTATTAGCCCCCTATATATTTTTTTTATGTCATAATAGTAAATTTCCATTTAACAAAGCACTTGGAAAGTTAAAGATATTAACTCTTGGAATCAGCTAAGAGAAAATTAGGAAATCCAGCTTTTGTTTAATAAAGTTTGCCTTGTAATTTGGATTAAGGGAAAGTCACTGGTTATATGAAGTACACTACCACCTTTAACACTGCCCTGATTTGCAGAGAGAAAACGATTGGAAGCCAAGCAACGAGAAGACATCTGGGAAGGTAGAGACCAGTCTGCAGTGTGAACATCACCCAATGAGAGGGATAATTCCTTGAATTCAGAAAATATTTCCACAGTCTTCAGATAAGAGGATCCTTCCAGAGCTCTGTGCACATGCAGATATGTGTGTCAAAGAAAGAAAGAAAGAGATAAAGCAATCAAGACAAGGACTGACTGGCATAGAAAGAAGACAGACTCCCGTTTGTCTTCATTCTTAAATGCAATTCTTTGGAATCGTCTTATTGTGTTGGGCTTCAGAGAGAGCCATCAGCCAGGAAGAAACTTGGAAAATGTGACTGCCAGGAGTCCTCTGGACAGGGCAAGTCACATTAGCATGGGTCACACATCAGAGATGTTTTAAGCAAAAACAAAACAGAACTCAAACCTGCAATGATGGGAGATTTAGGCCCTGCAAAACCAGAGTGTTCCTTAGTACCTCACAATGCTAAGAACAGCAATATTGAGGGAAGGAACGGAGCAGCTAGTACGAAGAGACAGAACAGCGTCTGGTGTACTTAGTATTCACAGAATCTACACTGCCAGTTCCAGAACTCCAAAATTGGTGAACTGCAGCAGATGTGAGTATTTGGACTCCAGAATTTGTACTGAGTTAAGTGCTTGGGGCTGCTCCAGCTGCACAGCAGCCAGGGGCATGTCAGCTCCATTCCTCATAGGAAGCCAGTCTTGGGAACTGTATGCCAGTTCCAGTTTAAGCAGTACTATCATGTTGTAAGAGGGAGACATTAAAGCCCATTTTATGACATAGATCACTCTGGTATTTGTCAGTTTTGTCATTCCCACAAAGGAATTGGAGAGCAGCTCTCCTCTTATCTTCATCCCTGTAATGCTGTGCGTGGGTTCAGTGGATGTGTTGATTTTGCTGAACCCCACGAAGTAAAGAGCTAATCATCTCTCTGTCCCAGACTACATAAAGGTGGCTCTCCTGAATTTGGTATGTGGCAGCTCCTCTTCCCTCCCTGCCCTCTTTGGACACCTGCACCCCAACTGCTAGTCTTTTCCCATTTCTGTCAAATCTGACATCCTGCAGAAAGCATCTGGCACACAGCATGTTCTTGGTATGATCTTCTCAGTCTGTGCCAGAGGCACTTGGCAAGCAGCCCCAGACCATCCATTACAATGAAGAATAAAACAAACACCTCTGGGCAGTGAGAGATTTCCTCCTAAAGGACATGGACAAGTCAGAGCCGTCACCTCAGGCTTTATCCATTTCATATCTGCATTCTCAGTGTTTTTGGAAAGTAGTTCTGTACTGAAGAAATGGTAGTGCTAGACCTTAAGATGCTGAGGTAGAAAGAAGTACTGTTTCATTGTGCTTTCAACTAGGGCAGTAGCCTCATTTTTTTAATGATTTAGTGCCTGTGACAATGATGGATTTTTAGCATTGCCTAGAACGTGGTGGAGTGGGGCTCTTTTGAGATGTTCCTCAAATGTCACTGGCCTTGAGTCTTAGTCCTGACACAACTATCCCTGCCTCTTTGCTGGTCTTAAGAGCCCTGTCACGGTTCTTCAGCATTGTTTTTCTCAGTCTTGGTCAGTTCTGTTAGTGTCCCTTGTTTATGTTCAATACTGTCATTCCAAGTTTGGGGGTTTAAGTAAGTCTTGACCCTAGTTCTAGTACTTAGACCAGTGCCCCTGTCGTTGGCTTGTAGCTGTAGAGCCTGTGCTTTCTGTCTTCACAGAACAGACTTCTCTGAGACAGGCAGGTCTATTTGAACAATATGGCTGCATTTGAAAAGAAATGCAGAGAATTGTAGCCAGGCTTAAAACCAAATGATAGACCGTTGCTGTGTTTTGATTCTTCAAGGCCGAGAGTGACCTTGGGCAGTAAAAAGATGATTGCCTCTGAGGGTACTTCCCTTTTTGGCAGCATTTTAGCTTTTAAGAGCATTGTTAATATTAACATACAGTCTCTTGTTTATTACCAGTTTTCTTGAGGTCCTTATAATTCCTAAAAGTTACTTTTGTAGCTAGCAACTTACATTTTATTTTCAGCTAACAATCGGCCACCTCTAACTTTCAGATTTTTTCTTATAACCAGACTTAGAGGATTTTTTTTTTAAAGCCAGTACTGAACACTGTAGAGTGCTGCTGCTTCTCCCATTAGTAGAGAAGGTGCTTTTAAGTTTTATTTTTCTAGTAGTTGGGATCGATGTATCCTGGCTGGACGTAAGAGGGCCTGCATGGCCCAGCACAGACTACATTGAATTTGTACAGATGGGTATCAAATCTTTGACCGTATCTAAACCATGCCTTCATAAGCTGAGCTAATTGGTGAGCACCCTGTAACTGCCACTGGCTCCTTTGTTAGATATTTGAGAAGACAGCTAATGCACTCTACTTTGCAAGTATGTTGCTTCATATATGTTGAACGTCTGAATCCAGGATCACCTGGAATTAATAATAGAAAGGTACTGCATTCCCCTTGGGTTCTGATACATTCCCCGTAGAGTGAAAGCCTTTGTGGAATAGAAATAAATTGGGCTTCTGAAGAGTAAGCTGAGGTTCTTAGCACTTTAGTTTCTCTGAGACTAAAGTATGCTGAGGTGAAAATCTTCTGACATTTTTGGTTCTGTCTGGAATTCGGTGGTTGGTATTCTGTTAACATTCCTCATCTAGTTACAAGTCATGCCAGCCACCAATCTTCTCATGCCCTTCCCTTTCAACTCAGAGGTGTAACAGCACAACCTTTGTATAGGTTTTTCCAAGAACTAGAACTAGCTGCACCTATCAAACGTGTGATGTGGGCAGCAAGACTGAGACCAGAGCTGGTGGCTGGCTGCCAGGCCTGCTTTTTCTGGCCTTCTTGGACACTGGATCCAGCAAGAAGCTGTGGGTAACCTCCCTGCCTGAATCTAGTCATCAGTCACCACATGCTTCCTCGCTAGTTGCACATTCCTTCACAGACCATTAGCTGCATGTGCGAGTATAATGTTGTTACTGTTTGGGAGATGTTTGCTGGCTCCAACAGGAAATCAGTCCTTCCCTTGTTTACCTAAACTGCCATGCCAAAATATAATGCTCCCTCTGCCTAATGAAGGAAATGAGGGAGTTGAAAAGAGAGAAGGTAAAGGAGAAGGAAGAAAGTACTTTTTCATATTCATAGAGCATACCCCAGAGCATGTCCTTTTTTACTGTCTAAGGAGGGGATAGCTCTCGTGATGTGAGGAGGGAAACACTATTGTAAACCTGGCCCATTTGCTAACATTCATTTTGGCTTTGCAGCCTTGGTTATAAAAGTTTACAATCATTGAACTTTACCTCCTTGTCTCCTATCTTTAATCCCTTAACCTTTCCAACTCATGTTTCAGAACTGAGCCTGTGGTGGGAATTGGGAAGCAGATGGTAGGCTAATAGCAGAGAAATGTAGTGAGGCTGTTGTGAGTAGTGTGCATCCTAGTCACCAGCTCAGTGGGAGTGAAAAGAGGTAAAGTTAGTGTACTAGGAACTGCAGTGAATCACAGCCGATCTTGTCTTTAAAGCAGTCCATAGTGAGCAACCTTTATTGGCATTAGAATGTCAGATCTGTAAGGATCATCTCTTAAGTTTGTCTAAGTAGAGAAGAGATTAAGAATTATGTCCAGGAAGACCATGGGGTTTTATACTACTTGAGCAAGACCATATCACAGCCACGTCAAGTAGGGATGGTGACTTTTCCTAGGTTTTGTCCTTAATTAAATGTTCCCCTATAGTCGCCTGGCCACCCAGTCTACCAGACCTGTTCTTCCTACAGAGATGAGTGGCTTATTTGACCCAATTTTCTTTCCATTGCAAAAATTTATTCAATGCAAAGTTCACTTCAGAAACTTGGTTGAGATCTGAAATTTAAGCCAGTCCTGAGATACACAGTGATCTTGAGGGAGATTGGATATGGCACATAGGTTTTCCTTGGTGGAGGCCCTGACTGGGACTAGGGTCCATATTATCCATATTATCTCAGCAGTCTTTTTGCTTGACCTTCTCTTGCTGCCCTGTCTGGCCACTTCTGCAAATGTTGCCCCTTCTCAAGCAGTCAGTAACTGTTGGCCCATCAGAAGATAAGGAGATGCCTGAAGCCTAAGCTTCCAGGCATATTAGAAACACCCATATGTGCAGTAGGATAAAGGTAATGGCACTAAAGAACAGACTCTTAGAGAATATGACAGGTGAGTTCTAAATGAGAGATCAAGCAGGGGAATGAATTCACAAACTTCTCTGCCATTTGTGTTGCTTTGATCTCCTTGCAGAGGGCTACTCCCACCTCCTGTGTATTTTGGTCCTCTGTCTTCTACTCCAAGACATTTGCAAAGCACCATTTAGATGGGGGACTGGGCCATAGTCCATCCCTAAGGAACTGATTGCTCCTGAACCAGGAACTCTGGGGCAAAATCCAGGAAAGATTGGGTCTCCTTATGGAAGGGGAACTCAGCTGAACAAAGTCTGGCGGTCATAGTCCATAGACCAAAGGTCCTTAGGGGACAGGCCCAGAGCCATCCAAAGGGAGCAGTACCATCCTGGTTTGGTGATCTTGCCCTCAAAAGGCTTCCTGAGCAGTTCTTGGTGCCCCTTGGCACTGGCCCTCTTCTCTCTGAGTTAGGGTTCTGTGAAGGGCATGGCTCCAATAAGCTGAGGTATCTGGTGTGGGCAGCAGCTGGGAGTGTGCAGTGATGGCTTCAGATGAGGTTGTTCCTGAGACGCTGCTCCTGCTCCAGGGAGAGCTCTGCATTGGCTCGATATGAATCCCCTGTGGGCCAAAGGAAAACAGGTAAGTAGCCAACCCTATCACAGGTTCATCCTTTCCTTGACAATGTCACAAACAGACATTCTGTCGAGCTATTCCTTTATACCATGTCAGTCACGGGCCAGACCCCAATTCATTCTATAGAAACAGACTCTTGACAGGTGTGTAGTTTGAGGGACATCGGGAAGAACAGGCTATTGAGTGGAAAGGGTTGTGCTGTTACTCTCCTTTGCCGCCTCTCCTTTGTTCTCTCTGTGCCCTGGAGAATTGACCCCTAGAGATTGCCTCACCCTGGCTCTCATCCTCTGGTTTCTGGTTGATTTAGGTCAGTGGGAAGCAACAGCAGGAGATCAGAGGGAAGAAGGGGAGAGAAGTTGAGATATTTCTTCCCCTGTTCTGGCAGTAGTGGTTGATTATGACTCCAGGCCAGGCTTTCCTTCCTCCACAGCTTTAGCTTTCATCGGCTCCAGGACACTCTCTGCCCCTTCAAGCCTAAAGGTGAAAATAGTTTTCCACCCTTGCTTATCCCTGGATGTCTCAACACCCCTGTTTCCTTAGTCTTACACTTCTATAAATAGTCCATTAAATAACTTCAGACTGTTATCCAAGTGTGCTCTTTTCTGCAATGACCCTGATGAGTCAGAATTTCATTGTTTTTCTTTCCTCCTCACTGCCCTGGATCCCTCCCTTACAATCTGCTGCTAGCATTATGGAGGATCTGCTGTCTCCATATGCACAGTGTCAGATTGCAATTCCTGGTTCCTCTCATATTCTGATTTAATGGCCATACAATCTATCCATTCACACATATTCAAACCTTAGACTGTCTCTTCTTCCTCTTCTCGTTGTCTTTCCATCTGTTGCTAGAGTTATCTTTTGAAACAATCTGATCTTTTTGCCCCCTTTGAAATTTGTCAGTGGTTCCCAGAAGCCTACAGGTTCCTTTAGCAAGAACCAGCTTTAATGCTCCCTGCAAAGAACCTTAGTGAGTTTGAAGTACAATAGAGGAAACTTCTGAGGTTGGGATTTCTTCACTATCTTACAGCTAGAAAGAGGTTGGAGTTGGATCTGGAACCTAGTGATGAGTTCTGAAGCCAAATCCTATGCTCTTTCTCCTTCTCTCTTTCTAACTTCTGCCCCTCTCCTTTGAAAACCAGCTCATATTACTTCCTGCTTTCTCAATATTTAGTTCATACCTGTTTGGGATACTCGGTAGTATTGGGGTTATCCATTTGCATATCTGTTTACACTACTTGATACTGAACTCAGCATCTTACTCCTATTTACATCGTAGTGCCTGGCCCAGTGTTCAGCACAGAAGTAGGTCTTAATAAATGTTTGTTGCCTGAATGGACAAGGCTGCCCTACCCCACATATGCAAGTGTGGATATGAATACACAGCCCATAGCAAATACAAGCGTTTTTGAACTTGAAGATTGAGGAATTGCTACTTTTCCTTATAGGAGCTAAAGCAACCACCTCCTTACTATGCCCCCACTGGATCACCTGATACTGCCAGTCCTGCAAGTGCCCTGAGCCCTGTTTTCCATGGTCTCCTTGCAAGCAGTGATCACAGCTGAAGATACCAGCACAGATCTGCGGGGGCTTCTACTTTTTCCCTGTGAGTCAAGGATGGAGGCCCTTCACAGGACCCTAACTCAGACCCAGGCCGCATACCAGCTCTGCCACTTGCTGTGTAACTTGTTGCAGAGGTTCTGTGACCATATGTAAGGGAGGAGAAAAAACGGGAACGGGTAAGGGGAAATTCTGACATGGCTTGAAGTAACAGAGTAGGACAGATGGGAAACAGTTTATAATCCAAACAGTCTGAAGGACAAAGGGATGTAGAAATAGCGATTGGATGAAGCTTGATGGTCTGATCAGTTCTAGAAATCTTCCTGTGAAGATGTCAAAAGAAATTCAACTGTTCCATGCCTAGCCTTTTAAACACACCTTGAGGTCACACACGTGGGTACATTTAGAACCTTCCAGCACCCCTGAGCTGTGGGTCCCACAGTGGCTTGCAGTTACCTGTGTGGCAGTTGTGCAGCCAGACCCGGTGCCCGTCATACTTGCAGCGGCACTGCATCATGTTGTTGGAGAAATCTGACTCTGCCACTTCGTATTTGGGATTTACAACCACCTAGAGTGAGAGGAAGGGACAACTGAAAACCGGTGATTTGGCTTCTGAGTGAGTTGATAGTGACTGTAATAATCCTTTTTTTCTCATGTAGTCCTACAAAGCATGTTTCTATATTCCTTGTTTCACTAATCCTTAGTTACCCCAGGAGGTAGGCATTAATGTCCCTGTTTTATAGATGGGGACTAAGAAGTCACAACTGAAAAACTATGACTTGCTCATTGTCCATGGAATCAGGACTGAAACTCAGGTCCTTCGGATCCTGACTCAGTGTTTTTTCCCCCTTAGCATACCTAGCTCCTTCAAGTGCCCGACCTGGTTGGAGACCCTGTTTATGATACTCTTCCTTCATTTGACCCCAGTGAAGCTTTTGGAACATCTGGAGGAAATGGAGTCCCTGCGGGGAATCCCCACCAGCCCCCTTACCTGAAAGATATAATCCCCAGGGCCCACATCTGTGATATCCACCCACTGGCAATCAATGTCATGTCGGTAGGTGTCCCAGCAGCCAACGGTCACTCCCTGTTCCCCAAAGTTGGCACATGCATAGCGCCGCTGCAGTCCTGTAAGGAAGGGTATTACTTGAGGTGATGGATAGGTACTCAGGACCAAGCACCCTGCTAGGTCTTCCACGTACTTTATCTTTTTACCTCACATCAGCCTTACCAATCAGATTAGAGACCCAGTGTTCATTTAAATAACTTGTCTGAATATCAGAGTCAGAATTCCTACTAACCATGAATCCAACACTGTGACAAACCCTCCTCTGATGAGAGACTATTCCTGTGGGTGCTCTAGTGGAAATCTTTGTTGGCTTAGGAAATGTACTTGGAAGATTCCAGCTACTGTGCTAATACATTTGTCCATCCATCGGACACTCTGAATAGCCAGCGTTTACCATTCCTAAGGGGTAGGAACTATGGGCATGTAAATAGGAATCAGATGATCCCTCAAAGAACTTAGCAGAGATGAGATAGATCTGCAACTATTATCCCAAAATAGGAAGTGTTAAGCATCTTAAAACTGGTTGCAAAATGGTTGGGAATGCAGAGGAAGTAGAGATCTTCCACCTAAAATTTCAGAAGGTAAGAAATTGATCTTTTTGAATTGCCTTGAGAGTTGACAGTTGCCAAGCCAGAGTCTCTAGGTACCTGGGGCTACTGAAGAGAGCAGAGGGGAATCTTACCCCAAAGTGGGTACAGAATATAACACAAAGAAGGTATGCTGACAGGAAACCACATACCTGTGGGGCAGTTTGTGTCCTCTAGACAGAAGCTGGCCTTGTGTCCCTCAGCCACCTTGGAGCCATTGAGAGTGAGTAGGTCATAGTGGGTGAAGACCTCAATGCTGTGGTAGTGCCTGCAGAAGGGTCAGAGCTGTCAGTGTGGCAGCAACAGGAGAGGGTCCTCTCTGGAGGAGTTGGCAGGGAAGACTGAGGCCCTGGGCCCCATCATTACCCAGAGAACAACGTTATAATAGCAGGGCAGTGCCCTTCTCCTTTCTAAACCCTAGATTAGTGTGACCCATGGCCTACTTTCCTGGCTCTCCTGCCTGACAGCAAGGCACAGCTGTCCCTATTACCTAAGGTGTCAACTCAGGTGAGGAGAGATGAAAGCTCTACAGAAGGCTGGCACCTGGCTTCAAGGCCTGATCTAGAGGTAGAAGGAAGGGGTGCTTATAGGAACCAGCCTAGGAGTTGGCTTTTGAGGAGGATGCTTACTCTGCTCCCTCTCCGCCTGGGACCAAATTGCTACCATTGTTTTCAATCCAGTTCTAATGACAACTCTGTTCGTGCTAGAGGGCAAGGTGCTTATTATCTCAGCAAGGCCAAGTCCCAGAGTCCTTGCCCAGTCCTCTCAGCTTTCCCCACCCTTGACTGTGTCCTGAAGAGAAAAACACTTTCCATTCTGCCTTTGTCACAGGCTTTGTCTCTCCTGTCTGGGCTGGAGACTCCTGATAGGAAAGAATGCTCATTATCTCTTCTGAGTACCAGTATTCATGCTCTTCTTTGGGGACCTTGCTTTGCTGCTGCAGAAACCAGCAAGCTGTTCCTGCAGAGCCAGCATCCTGGATGAGATGTCTATTTTGGGTCTCCAGGTTTCTAGGAGTCCCCACTTTACCTGGCTTTTAAAGAAAAGACCTAAGCTCTAACATAGAAAAATTGTCTGATATTCTAACAGAGACCAGCTCTACCAGCAGTAATTGCTGTTGGACATTCCTGGGGAAAATGGACCCCATGAACACCATCGACATGGCTACATCCAGGACCGGTGATAGAGCATGGAGAGGGCAGGCCGATGTTACTGGGATTCTCTATTGCCTCCTGGAAGCAAGGCTAGTAAGGCATCTAGGAAGGAAGGCTCTTATCTAGAGTGCACACCCCTCCCAGGAAAGTGCCTAAGGCCAGGGAAAAACCAGACTGGTTTGCCCCCTGGAACCCGCTTTTTGTCCCTAGAGCCATGGCATGGGCAGGTACTAACCTGTGGCACTGGTGCCAAATCCAGCTGTGGCGTCCTGTCTTGGGACGGAAGTCAGCCCGGCCCAGGTTGTAGATCTGTGAGGAGAAGCGCAACAGGCGCCGATGTCCGTAGGGCCAGTCCATGTGGTCAGCAGACTGAGAGAGGCAGTTCTCTTCGTGGGCACAGTAGAGCTGGCTGAGCGGGCGGTCCTCCAAGTAGGCCGTCTCCTGCACTAGTTGGGCATTCATCACGAGGTCTGGAGCACCTGGGCCACAGAAAGCACGGTGGGGATACAGAGGTAGGAAGGCAACTGTGTTTGCTTTCTGGCATGGGGGACCCCAGAAGAGTAGGGTAGTTTGGGAGTCAGGAGATGTGAGATCTAGTAACAAAGGAATGATCTTTCATTGCCTTAACCTGGGAAGTGGCTGGTGTCACAGTTAAGCGTGCTGGCTTTGGTGCTGGGCTGCCTGGGTTCGTGTCTTGGCTTCATTTCTGGCTATACCATTAACTAGCTCTGTGACTTGCTTAACCTTTTTGTCTCTCATTTTCCTCAAATGTAAGATGGGGATAACAATAATAATATTAATGTGATAATACCTGTAACGTGTTTAGATCATTGGCCCATGGTAAGCATGCAATTGATGTAAGCTTATATTTCTTTTGTAAAATGCTTCTCAGCCTGTAAGTGCCTTTGTGTAGCTTAGCTCTTACAACTTCAGTAAGCGCTACTGGTATCTAACTTGGTGACCTTAGCTTAGTCTCTTCCTCTGGGCTTCAGTTCTTTCAGTGAAAAGGGTGGGGAGGGGATGAGTTGGAAGGCGTGGTTAGGAGAGTTAATCTCCAAGCCAGCTCCTTAGCTCAGCCATTCTAGTCCATTCTGCTGCAGTTTCTAGGACTGTGCTTTCTCCAAGGTTCCCTTTCTAATCTGATTGCTATAGTGGGTATTCCTACCAGGGCATCCTGTGCATTCCCCTCTGAGGCATCATGGCCATTTCTAGTGCTTCTCTATGCATAAAAATCCAACATGCTAGAGCATGTGTCTTTGATAAACTGCTCAGCGCTTCTCCCGTTCCCTTCCTGTCATGGGCTCTTACCCTCCCCAGAGGCCACACGCCCCCTCTACCATTGCTCTCCCTCATGTATGTCAGTACAGAAATGTGGAGATCCACGGCTGTTGCCATGTAACATCAAGAGAGAAAAGTTGCCTATTCTCAATACTTATCTATGCAGAAACGGTTACAGTTCAGATTTTTGTCAGAGGCATCATATGGGTGAGCCGCAGCGCTGACTATGGTGAGGTGGGAACTGTGGTTTACTTCAGTGGATGGGGATTGAGGGTGGGAGTGGGGGTATGGCTGGTTTGCTATATGGTGCCTGTACCATCACAAAAATGCGCTTGACATTCTTGTGGTATATTTTGGAGAGAACCAGGGTGTACCCACTGACAAACCCTAGAGTTCCTGAGGGAAAGAAGGAGAGCTTTCATAGAGGAGACTGAGAGAGAGTAAAGAAAAGAAAGAAATGAGAAAAATCATAGAAGACAAATAGGAATGGCAACAGAGGCAGCAGGTCAGCTGTGCTAAGCCATTGTGAAGCATCAAATGCGTTCAGGAACAGATCGGCCACTCCAGGCGAAGGCCCACTCCCGTGCCCCATCACCCTGCGGGGAAAGGTGAGCTGTAAAGTCCAGTGTTCTTCCAAAGTGCACTGGACGGAGAAAGCCCTAAAGCTTACTGACAAAGGTTAAGGACGTCTTGGCATTGGAGCTTGGTTGGGAAGAAGATTGAGGAGCCACTTGGGTTGGTGCCAGCCTGCATCTTTGGACTGGATATACGTAGTTACCCTGGAATGGACCTGATTGGCAGGTTTCAGAGAGAGGTGCTGCTGCCCCAGGAATCTGAGTGTGTGGGGTAGACCGATGCCTGAAAATGGCGTTGGCCTAAAGCCCTTTGTGCATATTCCACAGCTCAGAAGGAGAGCACACAGGGAGCTTTAGGCTCGTGTGTCCTCACATTTATATACCTTCTTATATTGCAGTTTTCAGACTTTTTTCTTACTACAAACTACAGTAAGAAATATATTTTATGTTGTGACTTAATACACACATACATAATTCCAAGAAAAAAAATACCCTTACTAAATGGTACACATTCTATTATTTTCTATTCTGTTTATTTTTTAACTATAGGTCATGACATGAAAATTGAAAAACATTGTATATTCTTATATTTCACATATTCTCTGTTTTAATTCTCACAATAACTCCATGAAATGGGCAGAGCAGAGTTTGTATCCCCACGCAGCTGTCACTTGGCCACACACAACTGGTAAATGGCAGAATTAGTGCTCCAAGTCCAGCCCTCCTTCCACTCCCCTACCCTGCTGGCCTTGAGCTGGGACCAACACTTGGGGCCCTTCCCGTGGGAGGGAGGTATAGGCTTGCTTATGGGGGAGCCCAGGCCTGCATATCCCACGGCCCTGTGGGCCTTCCTTGTTACTCACTGTCTGTGCAAGAGACTCCAGCTGAAAAGCGTCCCGTGCCATGGGAGCAGTGCACCGGCCCATGCCTTTGACACTGCTGCAGAGCTAGCTCAGTGCCTGAGCAGCGCACGCCGCTCATCACCACTTCTCCAGCCCCTGGCGTCCCCTGCCAGTACCAGGTATCCTGAGAAAACAGCCAGCACCACCCAGTCAGGGCAGAGAGATGCCTTTGGAATCATCACTGACTCCCATCCGAGGCTCAGACCCCATCCAACTGCCCCCACCATGCTGTGCCCAGCTTCAGCCTGAAAATATTTAGTGATGGAACAGTCCGTGACACTTTGGACCCCTCCAATAGTGGACATTTTTTGTGTGTATTGAGGCAAAAATCCACTGCCTTGGCTTCCACAACTGGCCCTGTTCCTATCCCTCTCCAACATGACAGCCCTCAGCTATTTGAAGAGGATGGTCCTGTTCCCTTCCTGCCCACCCAGGCAGCCTGTCCCATCTCCCAGCCCCTGATGGTAGGTTGTGCTCAGGGTTGGGCCCAGTTCTCCAGGTAAGGTGTGCCTGGCATTGTCTGGCAGGCCAGTGAGGGTGTAGTTAGTGAAGAGGTTTGTCTACCGCAGCCATTCCCAAATCCTCTTGACTTTGTTTTCTTGGTATCTTTTGACTCTATCCACTTATTTTTCCCAGGACTGCCACTAGCTTGGTCCCAGCCAGCATCATTTCTCATCTGGGCTACTGCGACAGGGTTGTTTCTTGAGTGTATTTTCCTGTATTCATGTTAGTCTACACCCTGTTTGTCAAATAGCGAGGCAGAAATCTTTTCAAAATCTGCACTGCAGGCCTCAAATGGTCTTGGTCCTGCCTCCTTCTCCACCCTCACACTTCCTAACACTCCAGGCCTAGTCCCTGACTGCCTTTACTGAGTCGAGCTTCCTCTGGCCACAGGTCTTTGCACGGGCTGTTTATCCCTCCCCTCCTCATCTGCCTAACTTCTGTTCATCTTTCCTGTGGACACAACCATGTGCCTGTTGTGTGAACGTTTTATTAATGACTGCTTCCCTCCCTTAGCTGACTGCTACGTGAGGCAGGAACTGTGTCTTCTTCATCCCAGTATCCCCAGCACCCAGCATTATATTGGCCCAGAGTAATTGTTGAATGAGTGAATGAATGAATGAATGAAGGGTTAGCAGCTTTAGCACAGGAAGTTTGGGAGCAAAATGAACCTACCTTAATGGCATGGCTGGCAAAACCCAGGCCAAGCTGTCGGCAGGCCACCATGGCTTCAGTGAGTCCCCAGTGGTCACTGCACACAGCCCCCCAGCGTCGGACCCCGTTCACCTCCACCTGCACCTCCACCACACCCTCCTCGGGGCTGCGCCCGCCAGCCAAGCGCACCTGCAATGGTCAGAGGTGTGTGAGGATCAGGGCGGCCTTAGGAGGGGAGAGCTCAGGACCTCCCGGCCAGCTCACTGTGTGGTCCTGGACACCACACACCCCTTCTCTGGGTTTGTCTCCTCTGTAACATGAGGACATTTCTTCCAGGTATTGAAGCAAAAATCATTACTAGATAGTCCTTAATGTCCCTGCCCACTCGAGAAATCTGACTCCAAGTGCCTGGTCCTATGGCTCCTACTCCAGTACTTGCCCCTCTCCTACTTGAAATCCTACCATTAATGACAATTTACCAATTGCAAAGGACTTCATCTCTATCGTCCCATTCACAGTGACCACGTGAGACACTTAACCCCATTTTACAGAAGAGAGAACCAAGATCAGAGACGTGAGAGACTTGCCCGCCGTACACATTGGCCTGACACTTGGGTTCTCGCCATCCCAGCAGCCTCTCCAGTGCCACTCCCAGCTGACAGCCCATTGGCCCTCTGCCCTAGGCACCTTCTTTCTCAGCTTTACAGGGATTCTGAGAGGGTATGATGGGAGAGCACATCCACCTGAAGGGTCTCGCTGCGCTGAGGGGATGTGGGCCAGGCTAGGGGAGACTCAGAGAGGAGAGGGCTTTCCAGGCTGCCACAAGGGAAGGCCGACTGAGGCCCAATGCAGAAGCACTAGCTGCCTCTTGTGAACTCCTCCCCACTGGCTCCGTGCGGTGTCCTGGGGCTATCTCCGGGCTTCCCCAGTCCTCAAGCCTGAGGCGATGCCTAGACTGAGCTCACCTGATTCTGGAAGCCCGTATTTGGGACATGACACCTGACGGCAGCATCATTTTCATGTTGACAACCATTCTGGGACCCTTCCAGGGAGGGGCATTCACTGAGGGTCCGCTCATATCCCTTGCAGCGCACCTCACTCAGGTGTATGGGCCCCAGCCCTACAGAGGGAGGGAGGGAAATGCCATGTGAGGCTCCATGTCCGTAGCCAACCAGCTGTGGCTCCCCCACCACAGAGGGGGAGAGCTGTCCTGGACCCTGGAACTACCTGGGCCACCAAGGGATAGACCAGTGGCACATTCAGGCCCACCCACCCCGCTCCAGGCCTCCTCACTCACCTTGGCCCAGCTGGGCCCCAAACAGGGCCTCCCGAGCAGAGCCAAAGCCAAGCTGACGACACACAATGCTGGCAGAGATGAGGTTCCACCCGTGGTCACAAACCGTACCCCACTGGCGATTCATGAGTACTTCCACCCGGCCCTCGCCCGCCTGGGCCCCAGAGCGGAGGCGCACCCTTGGCTCCTGCTGGGAGAAAAACAGCTTCAGGGAGGGCCGAGGAGTAGGGTCAGGGGTTGACCCACCGTGGGAGCCCTGGCGGGGCCCCTTCAGGCTGGCCAGAGCCACCTATAGGAGTTCCAGTCCCTCCTCTGACTGCCTGAAGCTATTACCTCAAATAAGCTCTTTTTCTCAACCTCCTTTTCTTCAGTGACGAAGAGCCACCGCAATAATGATAGTAAGGACAAATTCCAGTTCTAACAAAAGAGCCTTAGGAGTGGGGTCCCTGGGCTTCAAAACCCTGCCACCTAGTCCCTAGACAGTTCCTCTTGCCCAGCCTCTGCTTCTTTGTCTTGTGGCGTTGAACTAGATCAACACTTCCCAAAGGGATCTGTGAAATGATTTTAAAGACATGTAGGGACATGGCGTTAATTAAACTCACTTACATAGTGGGGAAGCTATATCCATTTTAACTCTTCCCCCACTCCTTCCTATTTCATGGAGGAGACCATCTCATCAGGTGCTGCCCTGTCTGTAACACCTCACCAGCGCTTGCTCATTGCTTTTTATAACAAAGGGCCAGGCTCAGGTTCAACATGGGATGTAGCTACAGTGTAATTACTGTTTTTATGGTTACCTTCTATTCATGGCAGGTGATGTCAGCTTTCCATTTGTGGTAGATGGGTTACCAGTCCTTTTTAAATAAATTCCAAGATTCTACCATTCTGTGCTTCACTCTCCTCCTCCCAGTTGCACTTATGCCTCCTTGATGGGCTGCTGTCCCTCCTCTCCTGCCTGTCCTAGAGCTCCTCCCCACCCATCCTTCCCCAAAAGACTGGGTCCTGCTAAGAGGGGCCTGTGCCTTCCTGCCTGGGTGCAGGCCCAGAGGACCCACCTCTGCCCGGGACTCCTTGCGCCCAGGCTTTGCCTTTGGAGGGCGGAAACGGGGCCCTGCCACACAGCTGACCACAGTGTGCATGCCACCTGGGCAGGCTGGCTGCCGCTTGCCCCGTGCTGGCGCCACCTGCACCTGGCAGTTGGCAATGTGGGGCTCCTTCCCCAGGCAGTTGACCCGATGGATCCAGAAGGAATTCTTCTGGGTCAAGCTCTTCAGCCTAGAAGACAAGGGACATTGTGGGTGGGGGAGGGGTTGAGGGAAGCTCAGGACTCAGGGAGGCCAAGGCATTGGGGAGGGGAGAGTGGGGCAGGGAGGCCCTTTATGCCACACCCCTTTACATCCTTCCCCAAGGGTATACTCCTCACCTAGACTTGGCATCCTTCATCTTCAAATCCCAGACTTTCCTGGGTAAGAGAAAACAGGTGGGGAGTGGAGTACATGCAGAAACCCTATCCTGTTACCCTGGCTCGTCACAGTTGTCCTTGAGTTTGTGCCAGACTTCACAGTTTGTAAACTCTGTTCATAGATCTTATTTCAGTGCTGAGCATCACAGCAGCCCCGAAAGGATGGCCACCTCACAGATTTCCTTCCTGTTTTATAGGGAATGAAAGCAGGGCCTGGGAAGCCCCCTTGAATAATCCCCAAGTCAGGTCTCTGTTGTACTGGGCTGCCTTTGGGGCAGGCAGCTCCCAACTCACCCTCTCCACAGTCCAGAAGAAGGGGCACTTTAGGGAGGATCCCAAGAGAAGGGACGCAGGAGAGAGGTCCTCTGGGAACAGGTGGCAGTTGAAGGCCTTGCTGGTGGGGGCTGCCCGCCCATAGGCTATAATCAGGGTTTCCCTCCTAATGGGTGGTAGGTGTTGGCCAGGCCCAGGTGTGCAATTACCAGGCAGTGGGGAGTCAGGAGCCCCCATCCCAGTCATCTCCAAAGATGGAGCTATGTGTCTGGTCTTTAGGACCAGGGTTATCTAAATCAGAGACACAGGACAGAGTGACTAAAACTGATTGGGGTCAGAGAGGGTAGACAACGCAGATGTACTATGGGAGATTTTTCCCTTGATGAGAACATAGTCTCCACTGACAGAACTGGTAGAGCTGTGACTGGCCATTATTCACAGGCTAATGCAATCTCGTGACTATTCTGTCACATTTCTGACAGACTATTTTATGTCTCCTCTCCCAAATGCCACCCCACCCCATACCTCGCTCACACATAACCCAGTCAAGGCCTGGCTTGGATGAGAGTTGAGGAAATTCTCTGGGGCAAAGTTGAGATAATTCCCTGCGGACTGGATAATTGAGGCTCAGATGCCCTGCTGAGGCCCCACAGCTAGTTAGTGGCAGAGCTGAGACCAGAACTCGAGTTGTCTAATCCTTATGGGCAGCATTGTAAGTTATCTTCAGGAAAGTCTACTTTTTAAATCAGGAACACAATTTTACGTTCAATTGTTTTCATTTAGGGAGTATTGTATATTATAATCAATTCTTTTTATCGATTGGCAAGTACAATATTTATTTTCTGACCATTTCTAGGCATCTCCCAAGGTCTCAAAGTTCATATTCACTCTCCTCTTAATTATTCTGAGGGTTCCAGAACCCAGGAAATCCAGGCACATTCCTCATTTGGGCCTGTTTTCCTCCCAATCCCAATCCCCACTGAATGTCCTGCCATAGACACCTACCCCTTCCAAGCTCACTGACCTCTGCAAGGTCCCATACGTGTCACACACACTCACACATGCGCACATAGCCAGTGCCCCTCAACCCTGCCTTCTTGGCACCTTCTACCCAGCCATCCTCCTACCTGTAGTAGTGGTTGTCGACGGGCGCCTCGCTGGGGAAGCCCAGCATTCCGCACACCACCCTGCTGTTGTTCCTGGTCCAGCCCTGGTCACACACCTGCCGCCAGTGACCCTCGTACCTCACTTCCACAGCTCCCTCAGTCACCGGGCTCTGCCGCTTGGCACTGGCAAGGATGGGCTTGAGCCGCACCTCCTCCAGCTGCCGGCCCTGCAAGGTGCACGGTCACCATGGGCCCTGGGATTCTTGCCCCTGCCAAGCCCACTGCGGGTTCTCTCATGGTAGAATTGGGGCTCATAGTGATTAGAGATGACCTCCCCGCCACGGCCTCCCGATTGGATGGGCTGGTAACTGAGGCCCAGACAGGGGAAATATTCGTCCCAAGGCCACAGGGTGAGGACAAGGCAGAACTTTGGTTTGTTTAGGGTCCTTTCCTCAACTCCAGAGAGAGCCAGGCAGATCTGCCTTCCCTGGGGTCAGGATGGGAGCCCTTGGAATTTGGGAGGCTTCCACTAGGCACAAGGGGCCTTCCTCCTGCCACCCTAGGGAGAGCTGAGGATGAGGACAACTGCTAAGACCACCAATACGATCCTTTGGCCCATGAAACCCCCACTTTACCCCTGAGGTGACTTAGACCATCCAAGCCTACAGTGCTTGGTGGGCCAGGGCCAGCTCTCCTCAGGCTGAGGGTGTCTGGCAGTGGACGGTGGGAGCCAGGACCTGCCCTGCCTGCTCCTGTTGTTTGGCTTGGGCTGTTTTTAGCTTGGGGTTGTTTGTGCCGGGAAGAGGCAGCAATTGTGGCTGGGCCTTGTGGGTGAGGCAGCCCCTTCCCCCTCTACTGTCTCCCTTACAGAGAGCAACTTCAGTGATTCTTAGCAGGCCCAGCCTCACGCTGGGGCCCTCTGTTCAGGTACCTGTTGTAGGCCATCAACAGGAATCAGGGCCCAGGGATGCTTCTTAGCCCATGCTCTGTTCCCTTTCCCCTCTCTCCTCCAGATTCATCACCCAGGAGGCTCTCTGTCCCCTGACCAAATACTTGGCTCAAGCCAAGGCCTGAAAAGCCTCCTCACCTGGGGCCCAAGGGCATTGGAGACCCTCTCAGAAAGATAGCCACGCTGGCGCTGGGGATGGCACACCACGCCGACATCCTCTGAGTGGCTGCAGTCACTGACACCCCAGCCATTAGACCCGCACTGGTCCAGGGAGCTTTCTGTGCCCACACAGCGCACATTGTCCAGCCAGATGGGTCCTGCATGGGAGAGGACGGCTGATGCTCAGGTCCCACATGTGTCATACACACACACTCACACATGTGTGGATACAGAAAGGCAGGTCATGGGCTCTGCCTCATGGGTAGGACCCTACAGTTATCGACTTTCCTCTTAAACCCTGCATAGAAAGTGTGAGGTGGTGGGAGTGGAGAGGGGAGAGGAGTTGGTTCTCCTTGGATCTTGGTGTCTTGTACAACCCTGCCTACTGCCTCCTCTTGTCATCAGGTCCTGTAGAATCTGTTTTTGGGAAAAGCCAGGTAGGCTTAGGAATTAGTCCAACCTGTTCACGCATTCATCCATCCATTTGTTCGTTCAGCAACATTTGCTAAATACCCACCATGTGCTCAAGGAAGTTAGAGCTGAGTGATAGTGGTAATGGTGGTGGCCTCATTACAAGTGCAAATGGGAGGGTCAGAGCGGGGGTCATCTGCAGCTGGGGCACTCGGGTAATGCCTCATGGAGGAGGTCATTTAAGCTGGGTCTTAAAGGACAGGAAGGAGTCTGATGTGTTCTGTTGAAGCCCTGGTGCGCTCGGCCCCTGAGAGAAGCCTCTACCATTTCCTTGTCATCCTGCTGGGCAGTACCAGTCACTCACCCTCCCCTGGGCCATACTTGGCACTGTGGGCCCAGGTCAGGGCTGCCTCGAAGCCTAGCTGGCGGCAGACTACTGTGGCCTCCTGGAGTGCAAAGCTGTCATCACACACGGTGCCCCACTGGCCTTGGTACAACACTTCCAGGCGGCCCTCTTCGGGCCTGCTTCCTGGGCCTACCAGCCGCAGTTTTGTGCTGCCCAGTGACTGTGGCCTGCTGGGAGGGGCTTGGCCCAGCAGCAGGAGTAGCAGGAGCAGGGAGAGGGTGGCTGGTGGGAACCACATCATGGTGACTTCAAGGGCAGCTGAGGCCAAGGCACCTGGAGAATAAGTAAACGTGACAGTGATCACCACCTCTACCCCCGACCTCAGGCCTCTTCTGCTGACAGAGGAAAAGCATGGAAGGGCCCTTCCACGTGTGTGTTCAGCGGCACTGATTGAGCCTGGGTTCTGAGATTATTCAGTTTTATTCAAACTCACCATTCATTGGCCATGTGACCTTGAGGAAGTTTAAATTTAACCTTAGCGAGTATCAGTCTCCTCACCTGCAAAGTGGGAGGTAATAATTCCTGTCTTACAGTGTTGTTGTGACTGTTAAATAAAGTACTGTATGTAAAATGTGTAGTACAAGCCTACCACAGGGTAAGTGTTCAATAGCTATTCTTGATACAGTCTTATATGTAGATAGAAGAGGTAGCCTACCCTGTGAGTCATGGGGGAGCCCCCCTGGGGCTCAGAATATCTACCCCACCTGCTCAGAATATCTGTCCTCACCTACCTTTCGATGTTCCCAGCATCCCAGCCACCCTCACCATAGAAGGCACATGGAAGGCTGAGTGGAAACAGTCATTTGAAGGAGGCCTAGACCTTTACCACTTATTCGTGGTGTGGCTTTAGCAAGTCTCTGAAACTCTCTAGGCTTAATTCCTTATTTCTAAAGTGAGGAGGATGAACCAAATATTGTCTCATCTCTCCTCCAGCTCACATAGTCTATGATATCCTCAAGCCTTAGCTCTAGGTCCATCTAGGTGCATGATTCATACATTGATTTAACAAACATTTTTGGGATACTTGCATCAGGCCAATTATTAGGCCAGGTGGTGGGACAAAGAAGTGAAGACATCACACACTACTCCTTGCTTTCATGGAGCTCAGAGAAGAGGAATCGGGGAAGGCTTTCAGAGAAGGGACATTTAACCTGGGCCTTGTTGGATGAATAAGAGTACTCCTGGGTGGGAAAAGGGGCATACCAGGTAAGAGAACCAGAATGGAGAAAGGAGGGAAGAG